ATGGAATTTAAACCGTAATTCTGAAATATTTAACCATTGCTATATGTCGAAGAACTAAAATTAAATTAAAAAATAGCAAAGTTATAATTTTTTTTATTTATTTTTTCGACCTGCAATAGAAAGACAACTTTTGGGAAAGTTTCATTCAGATAGTTTTAAGACTGAGAGACTAGTTTGCGTAGAAACTGACGGAAAGACGGATGGACAGACGAACAGACGGACATGGCTAGATCGACTCTCTTAGTGATGCTGATCAGGAATATATATACTTTATACGGTCGGAAATGACTGAAATTATAATACCCTCTGCAAGGGTATAAAAGTAATAAGCCAAAAAAAAACAATATTCACATTAACCATAACAAAAAATCAATCTTCCTTCTATGCATTTTTTTTCGCTAGATATCGAGCTTTAAAACCTGTTTGCCGGGCTTCCCTGGTGCACCATCGGCTATTAAAATCTCGAAGGATGTCAAAGAGGGAGCTCACTTAACATGGGAACCACCGCCGGCTCAAAAAACTAAAGAGATAATTGAGTATTCAGTATACCTTGCAGTAAAACCCACTGCCAAGGATAAGGCATTAGCCACTCCTCAGTTGGCTTTTGTTCGGGTTTATGTCGGTGCGGCCAATCAGTGCACGGTTCCCAATGCTTCACTCTCCAACGCACATGTGGATTGCTCAAACAAACCAGCAATTATTTTTCGGATTGCTGCTCGAAACCAGAAGGGCTACGGACCAGCTACACAAGTTAGATGGCTGCAAGGTATGATTGCTACATGGCTATACAGCTATCTTTGATTGATCGTTGCGTTTCCGTCTCTAACTTTACAGATCCTGCAACCACAAAACTGCAAGCCCCCGCAAGTACGCCAAATTTAAAACGTTCGCAGGAGAAAACAACCATAGGAACTAACAGCGTTGCAAACTCGTTTTGTTCACCACATAAGCGTGGACGCAACGGATTGCACGAATGACCGACCGATTAAGACTCGTATATGGGCATGGAGATATGGGCTAAATTTAAGGCACAGTAATAATGTTGGCATTACTACAGCTTCCCACTTTGCAAAAACACAATGTAATTTATACTGAATTTAAAGTGATTTACAACAATACTTGAATATTTTCTTTGATTGCAAATAATGCAGCTTTCTAAGGGTTGGCTAGATCTGAAGCTTGTACATTAGGGTTTGTTTAAAGTCCTTGAACATACAAAATTGAAGCATCATTTATTTATTGACAATTTTAAGCAAGCATTTTAGTTAACGCTTAAGAATTAACAAATTGTAGCCAACATACTAATAACGACAATTTTTATTTCAAAACATATGTGAATTCTCCATTATAGTATAGTAGAGGAGCAGGACATTTAAAAATATAAATGCTTTGTTTGTCATAATCGACTTACCCTAGTGTACATGCTGAACTACGATAAAATAAACCTTAACAAATAAATTATAACAAACAATTATACAAAAATTAAAGACTATTATTATAAATAATAAAAGATGGCTACCTTCGCCCTGAAGTTATACTACTTGCTGCATCAGCGAATTGTCCAATGTTTATCTCAAATGGCCGTTGATTCGTGTCGAAATTATCTTCCAATTACAAGTTTTAGAAAGTTTTTGTTTTGCAAACTTTTTAGGTTTAATTATTTAATAATATGTCCTTAGAATTTCAACTCGACCCAAAAAAATTGGTAAAGAAATAAGCGTTGAAAGATAGGAATCAACGACTGTCTAGTGTGCTAACCTAAAACTTTTAATGCGTTTTTCTCAAATTGGCATCATTCATTGCGGTGACAAAATTGTATAACTACTGAATCGTTCTTTATGCAATTTTGCAGGTTTATTAATCACCTCATAACAAACTTTTTAATCGTTTTTTTTATATCAAAAAAATTGAGTTTTTTGGTGAAAATGAGGAGAAAACGTTAACTGTTAAACATTTTGTCAAAAATAACATATTTTTGAAATTTATTGACCTTGTTTTAGTTAATTATAACATAATCAACACCCAAGCTCGAAACGAAATCTTTGCCTAGCTACAGCTTAAATGTTGTTGTTGGCATATAGTAAGAAATATACAGAAAATACACCATTTGCTCTGCCCGAAATTCTGCCCAAGCTCTGCTGAGAGCCATGTTCGAAGTTAAATTGGATCTCCCAGTTTTTTAGTTTTTGGTTCAAACATTCAACTCGGTTCCGCGGTGAATTTGCAACTGGACTGCTCAATCGATTCTTAAAACTGTTTCAATTGTCTACCTCAACATCAGTTTCTTCAACTATCTGGAAAGATTCTTTTATTATTCCACTCCATTAAAATTTGCATAAATTTATATAGATTCTACATACTTACGTTACGCGTGCCACATTCAAAGGGTCGGCTCACTGTAAGTGATATCGACAATGGAACCCTGTTGCTTATAAAAGTGGCCCAGCATCAGGAATTTGTTGCATTGAAAAAACCCTGAGAAGCAAACAGTCAATACCGCCACGAAGCGCAATGACTTCGCCATCGTTTTTTTTTTTTTTGACAATTTCGAACTGACATCCTGTTACAACATGCGCAATTATCTTGTTTCACGAAACATATATGCATGCAGGACAGCAAGGTTTTCTCGGCCTGCTTAGGCAAAAGTTTTGGCCTATTATTATTATTATTATTATTAATATCGGGGTGTCCAGTGCACCGCGACCTATAAGATCTATTGTACCCCCATTCAGAGCCTACAGCTCAGATATCAACCCACTTCCTCGAATAAAGTCGAGGAGTTTTAGTGGGTTGATTCTTACTAGGAGCTCAGGTGTAAGAGTTCTGGTTCCTAAGATTTTACATCTTATGCTTGCTAACGCCGGACAGTCTGCAATGATGTGTCTAGAGGTTTCGTCCTCTATGTCGCAGAATCTGCAGGTTCCACTGCTGGTTATTCCCATCTTACCTAGGTGACTTTTCAGTCTACAGTGCCCGGTTAGTAATCCGGTAACGATCCTAAGTGAGTTTTTCCCCAGTTGAATAAGTTCCTTGAACCTCTTCCTATTGGCCTATTGGTCGACGGAAATATGTGGCAAGCGTTATTAGAAAGGGTGTTCAGTGCTTTCGTTTAAAACCAGTAGGGAGCATATCATGGGAAGTTAAGAAACAGCACAGTTATAATTTTATTTCCTTTATTTTTCCGATTGTTCCTATGGGAGCTATATGCTATAGTCGTCCGATCCGGCTCTTTCCGACTTATATACTACCTGGAATAGGAAGACAACTTTTGGGAAAGTTTCATGCAGATAGCTTTAAAACTGAGAGACCACTTTGCATAGACTCTCCTAGTGATGCTGATCAGGAATATATATTCTTTATAGGGTCGGAGATGTTTCCTTCGCTGCGTTGCAAACTTCTGACTGAAATTATAATTCCCTCTGCAAGAGTATAAAAACCTTGTAATTTCTCTAATTTTAAATTTTTTTTTGTAATTCTTAGGAATGGTTTAATAATTAAGAATTTTGCTTTTAATTTTATTAAAATCGGAAATCGATATCATATAGCTGCCATAGAAACGATCAAATAAATAAGCAGCATATCGATTACGAAACAAATTAAAGCAGAATAAAGTAAATTTGTTTGGTAAAATAAATAATAATCGGAGATTTCGCCATCAAATCTGCCACTCCTCAGCGCAAATTCAGCAGATTATGGATCAGCCACTATAAATACAAACACTCAATGAAATTAAGTCGATTTTGTAAACTTTTTAAAGTGGAGAGCCACAAACAAATTAATAATCACAATAATCAATAATCACGTGTGCATAGAATACTACTATATATAGCGGCAGAGTTGAAAGTCTCCTGTGTTGGTCCGATCGTAACAGGTAATTCACCAATCGAAAGGTAGCGCTTGAAGTAATGGGAATTTATATACAGTTAAAAAGCCGAAAATGGGAGAATTTTTCAAAATTTTTTCTGAGAAAACTATTAAATTTAATTATTTGATATTTTTTACACATATTATGTTATATTTTAACTGTGTTTTAAACTAAGTTTTGAAGAAAACATTGATTTGAACAGAGCTACAGCTAATCACCGGAAGCTCTTCTCAAAAAACCGTTTTGGGGTGACCACTTTATCTTTAGACTGGATCCTCCGAAATTAAAAAATCAAAGAGATGTCGTTAAGTATTGTCAAATCTAGTTATTAATCGAAGGAATAAGCACAATATAATTTTTTGACAAAATTGCCGTTTTTTAAAACAAAAAAACACCGTTTTGATTTAAACGCGTTTTAATTTTGTACTTGTACACTGTACTGAAACTGTACTGTACTGTACTGTACTCTGAAATATTTACCGGTACGATTTAAAATGCAGTGTGTATTCTTTAATATATGTAGGGTATCAAAATAAAATTAAAAAAAAAAATTTTTTAATTCCACCTTTATATAACCCCCTTAGGTAATTATTTAGTTCAGGAGAAAATGGTGGTGAATGTGATTTGCATTTGCCTAGTTACATTTTCTTGAAAGTAAGCGTGGAATGCCAGTTTAATTGCTTGTTCAAAAGTTGTTCAAAAAATGCTCTCTCTGTTGGTCGGCTTAACTAAATTTTAAGGACTTGTTTTGGAATACTTGAATGATTATTTTTGTGTTGGGCAGGTCGTTACGAAAAAAAGTTAGCAGGAAACCCAATAAACAGCTCAACTTTGCACGGCTATAACTTTTAAACTAGTAAAGACAAGTGTTCCCATTCGGCACGCTAAGATAAAACATGCCTGCGTAGGCAAAATACCTGGATGAAGTGGTCCAAATGGAAACACTTAAATAGTGTATTTAGTTAGTCGATAGATACTTTTCAATTTGATATCAATAAACAATATACCAATAAATCATCACCACTTTGTCTCGTGAGATGATTGGGTCGCTGGGGTATATTTACATTCATACATCATACATTCTCTATCTTTCTATGTATGTATCTTTGTTGACCCAATAAAATTCGATTGGAAATGATTTTCGCGCATTTATCTTTACTCTTATAATAAACGTTAACATAACACGAAAGTTTTTACATATTTTTATCTGCCGACATTGACGTTAGTTTATAGTATTGCACAATGAATGGGATCGTTTTTTAACTTAGGGCGTTGTTGTCTACTCATTTAAACTTACATACAAACATAATCTCGTTTACATCAACGCCTTCTCCACAAATTAGTTTACTTTTAGAGGCTTACGCATTCATATGTGTTAATCCTATTGTTTCAACTGAAATCGACGCAATAGGGAAATCGTTGTACTTGATGTTGAATCTCTATCTCTATCTCAATCTCCATCTCCATCTCAATCTCAATCTCATTCTGCCCCAGCGCATTCGATCGCCGAACTTCACGAGCTCGATGGCAGTTGGTGCTCCTGCTGATGCGTGTGGAACCGATGCTGTTGGTCGTTGCTGCTGGCAGTTCCACTGCAGTTGCCGTGACTGCTGAGTTGCTGCTGCAGCTCACCCGCCTCGCTTTTCACTCCAGCTCCACCTCCACCTCCACCTCCAGCTCCACCTCCAGTTCCTGCTCCAGAAACGGGCACCGTGCCAGTGGCCAGTCGAAAGGCGGCTTCGGTGTGGGAGCGCAAGATCGCTTCCGCCTGGTGCATGCGGAGCGCTGTTTCCGGATCCGGGTGGTGGTGGGATGTGTGGTGTGCCTGCGGGTGCGGATGCGCATGCGCATGCGCCTGCTGCGAGGTGGGAGCCACTGCGTGCTGCGAGTAGTTGGACGTCTGGTGGTGGTGGTGCTGCTGTTGCTGGTGGAGGACGTCTATGGGATGCATTCCCCCCAGGCCCGGATCCGGCTCAAGTGAGCCGCGCATCATATGGACGTTCATGTTCATGGCGATCGATGCGGCAGCAGACGACTCGTTCTGCAAACTTGGCACATTCAGGTTGGGAGACCGTTGCGAGCGGGAGTTGCTGCTGCCATGATGAGTGTGGACCAGCAGGTGGGACAGTTGCTGCTGCTGGTGCTGAGGAGCCTGCTGCTGGTGATGGTTGTGGGGGTGTGGATGCGGGTGCGGATGCGGATGTGAGTGGTGTGGCTGAGTGTGGTCGCCGTGCTGCAAAGTGGGACAAAACAGTGAATAGAGTTTAAGTATAATGGATCAGAAATGATTCTGGTTTTAGATTAAAAATGCCATTTGACGCGGCCCATGCATTAGCTCAATATGTTATATAATTTTATGATCGAATTGATATAAATCTCATATACTTAATAAATACCACCATTAAAAAAAAAAACAAATCACTGCGAATGCATAAATCTTCATAAATTGACTATTTATGTATGTAAAACATGGGGTACACAAAAATATATAATATATAAAACAAGAAAGAAAGCAAACTTCGGCAAGCCGAAGTTCATATACCCTTGCAGCTATTGCATGAATTAAATACTTTTGAAAACATTTAAATTATGATTTACTTGAGTATATACTGAAAAACAGTGAAGCTATGATGATTTGCAGCTCAATTATTAGATAGTTATTTTATATATTTTTATTAGTTCTATGGGAGCTATATGATATAGACGTCCGATTTTGATAAAATTTAAACCATAATTCTGAAATAATTAAACATTGCCATATGTCGAAGAACTAAACAAAAAATTAAAAAACAGAAAAGTTATAATTTTTATTCATTTATTTCTCCGATTGTTCCTATGGGACCTATATGATATAGTCGTCCGACTTTGATGAAATTTAAACCGTAAATCGGAAATATTTAACCATTACTAAATGTCGAAGAACTAAACAAAAAATTAAAAAACAGCAAAGTTATAATTTTTTTTCATTTATTTTTCCGATTGTTCCTATGGGAGCTATATGCTATAGTCGTCCGATCCGGCTCGTTCCGACTTATATACTACCTGCAATAGAAAGACAGCTTTTGGGAAAGTTTCATGCAGATAGCTTTAAAACTGAGAGACTAGTTTGCATATAAACGGACGGACAGACAGACGGACGGACGGACAGACGGACATGGCTAGATCGACTCGCCTAGTGATGCTGATCAAGAATATATATACTTTATAGGGTCGGAGATGTCTCCTTCACTGCGTTGCAAACTTCTGACTGAAATTATAATACCCTCTGCAAGGGTATAAAAATGAACCTCGAATTCTTGAGCCTCGCCACATGAATTGACAAATATTAAGACCCATAAAATGGCATTTAGTTTTTGAGTTTGAAATACGAATTGACTAATTGTATAAACCATTAAATATCTGAAAGATCTATTAAATAAGAACAGCGAATTCTTGAGTTTTTGAACCAAAAGATATATAAAGGAAATTAGGTAAAAAAAAAACTCGAACTTATGAGCTATGCTATATGAGTTGGCCAATTAATTAAATGGCCAAAAGCCTATGAAGCAGAAGGTGAAAAAAGTGTAAACAAAATCCCACAATTCTAAGCCATATAAATGGACCAATAATGTGATAGGGATCAATCCTTTCAGCTTTGGTCCAGTTTTAATCAGAATTTTTCTAGTTATTTTTCAAATTTTTTTTTAAAAATCATACGATAATTCATATTCCTTCGATAAGTTTTGTTTAGGTTTGGGAAGACTGTATTTTATTAATAAATAAAATAAAATAATTAAAATAAAAGAAGAAAGGAACCAGAGTTCGGCAAGCCGAAGTTCATATACCCTTGCAGCTATTGAAAAAAATTAAATATTCTTGAAAACATTTAAATTATGATTGACTTGCGTATATGTTTAAAAACATTGAAGTTATGATGATTTAACATACAGCTCAATTATTTGATATTTCCCACGGCAGCTATATGATATCGTTTTCCGATTTAAATATAATTAAAAGCTTAATTCTGAACTGTCAAATTATTAATTAGTCAAAAAGCATTTCTAAAAAAATACAAAATAAAAAAGTTAATTTTTTAAAAATGTTTTTTTTTTAATATTTTTATTGTTCTTATGGGAGCTTTAAGTTCGAAATTAAAACCGTAATTGTAAAATATTTTACCATTACTATATTTCCAACAACGAAAAAAAAAAAAATAAAAAACAGCAAAGTTATAATTTTCTTTTTTATTTTACCGATTATTCCTAAATGCTATAGTCGTCCGATCCGGCTCGTTCCGACTTATATACAACCTGCAATATGCAACTTTTGGGAAAATTTCATGAAGATAGCGTTAAAACTGAGAGACTAGTTTGGACGGTTAGACGGACATGGCTAGATCGACTCTTCTAGTGATGCTGATTAAGAATATATGTACTTTATAGGGTCGGAAATGACTCTTTCACTGCGTTGCAAACTTCTGACTAAAAGTATAATAATATATAATATTAATATTGATATATTATTATTAATGCAAGGGTATAATTACCGTGGGCGTTGGTCTTAAGAATTAATTTTGACCACCAAGTATGCCTAAGTATATAAAACTATATCGGAAAAAACCTCCTATATATGTATCTGAAAAACCTAATCGGGCAGTTTATTTGGACCATATGGAAAAACATAAAGAGAAAGGGGCAATCATCACCCATCATGATTGCTAATACAATTCACGCCTGCTGATATTAGTCTATCCTAGCGGTGGATATGGTTCTTACATGCTGTTGGTAGGCGGTGGGGCCGTTGCTGGGATTGTTCATTCGCATGGCAGCGGCCAGGTTGACCACAGCGGCTTGGACTGCAGCGCTCGGAACTGCTGACGAGTCCACTCCGTCCTGGGGTCGCGATGCAGCCACTGCCGCCGCAGCCGCGGCCATCAAGGACATGCGGTTGGCGACGTGCAGATCCGTGCCCATGGAGTATTGGCCTGAGCTCGGGAGTCGCAGCTCGGTGATCTTGTTGGAGTGGGAATTGTTGTTGTTTGTGCAATTGTTGTTGTTGTTGGCACTGCTGCTGATGTTGTTTTGGTTGCTGTTCTCATTCTCGCTCAAGCCGTGATCGATGTCCTGGTCCTGATCGGAGGTCGTCGACGAGGACAGTCGTCCGTTGGAGGAGCATTCGGAGTTGGCCGAAGGGGAAGGGCACTTTGAGTTGGATCCCTCCGAGTTGCGAGTGCCCATTGGTAGAGCGTTCCCGGCGTCTGCCATTCCCATCCTTCCGCCAGTCCCACTGCTGGCAGCTAGGGTTACCGCCAAAAGGGAGTCCCGCTCTCGCTGTTCTGCAGCTGCTCGAGACTAAAATGTACATTGGATTGAAAAGAAAATGCATTTATGTATTCGTTTCTATCTAATCCACGATAGAGCTTTTGTCGCTGTGTTCTGGGTTCTGGGTTGGAAGATTGTAAACGTACCAAAACGTACTGAGCCGCAAACTGATGTTTCGGATCCATGCGCATCGACTCCATGTGGGTAAGAAGGCCTATGGAAAAGAAGCCGATTAGTCCTATTTCTCTTTGGATCGGGGACCTGGTGGATACCATTTTCATGAGTGAAGACTGCCTGGCAAACGCTACAAGGCCACATTCGCAGGCTGTTTGTGAGCTGGGAGGTTTCGGCGTGGCAGGCTAGATGTTTCCTTAGGGATCCCTCGTTGACATAGTGCTTGCCGCACACTGGGCAGGGATGGTTGGCTGTCCTCCTCTTGCCTAAGTAGCTGTCTATTAGGTTGGAGCCACCAGCGGTTGCCTGATGGGAGCTCTGTGCGCAGTTCGACTCAGAAATGCATTGCGTGGATATCTGTTCGTTGCCAAGTCCAGTGCCGTTTCCGTTCCCACTGCCAGCAGCTCCCTGATTGAGTTCGCTGAACTGAGATAAGCCTGTGTAGAAGAATACGAATTTAATAAGAGCGATGGATAAACTTGGTTTGCCAAGATGGGCACCCATGTCTAAGGGCGGTCCTAGATTCTATGAACATTCTAGAGTGGATAGTCTACCTATTTACACTGTGCGCATTGCTACTAAAAAGGCACAACAGAAGATATTTGTTTAAAACAACGCCCAATGGGGTATTTGCAACGCATTTAATAAATATCACCTTACGTACTTTCGCCTCTGATTATATAATTTTAATCAGGGTGTTTATCATACCCGTTACTCGAAGATTATAAAAGTATATTGTAATCGTTGAAAAGTATTGAAAAGGTAGTAGGAAAAGTTTCCGACCATATAAATTATACATATTCTTCGTCATGTTTATCAGCCGAGTCGATCTAGCCTTGTCCGTATGTCTGTCCGTATGTCTGTCCGTCTGTCCGTACGTCGAGATCTCGGAAACTATAACATATAGATATTAAGGATTTGCAATGCATATACTAGTAATTCTTTTGCAGCGCAAGTTTATTTTAAACGGCGCTACGCTTACTCTTACGCCCACAAATGGAAAAAGTGTGTCACGTCACTCTGAGACTTGTTAGACCTTAGCTGTTTAGCTCTGTATGTGTGTTATATTTATCGTTAGCCGCAACAATTCTTAAAATCTATGTACTATTTTAGAAGTTATACGTTTATTGAGTCCTCTGCCGCCGCTCTGCCTGTTAGCGGGGCGTGGTGGTGCGCACGCTCTTAGCTTCTAATGTTGGCTGTGCAGTTCTGCAGATGGCGACACCTTTTACCCGATAGTTTTTCATTATACCCTTGCAAAGGGTATTATAATCAGAAGTTTGCAACGCAATAAAGAAGACAAGGTAAATAAATTAGGAGGAGTCTACAAGAGTAAGATCCCGTAGAGCAAATATTAAAAAGTTTTTTTGCACATACTCCATTTGGTCTATATGCACACCATATTGGGGACTCCAAACTGGTGAGCAGTACTCCAGGATTGGACGAACTAATGAAATAAATAAGGTATTTGCGACATACGTGACTATAAATCCAAGCACTCTCCTGGCTTTATTCATAATGGACGAAATGTAATCAGAAAATTTAAGTTTTGGGTCCAAAAGGACGCCAAGGTTATCAATTTGTCTAATTCTAGTCAACTTACAACCACCCAAAGTATGCGTGGCATACTGTGGATTGGCCCGATAGAATGTCACTGTTCATTGATATATAATGTAAAAAGAAGTGAACCAAAGTGGCTTCACAGTGGCACGCCTTAAGTAACTTAGATCAGTTTAAAAACCAATCTTTTAAAAAAGACTCCATGTGTCCTACCACTCAGATAAATCGAAATCCATGTCAGTAGATCGTTTGAAAACCATAACACGTATCCGTACAAGATGCGAATGATTTACGGAATCAAATGCTTTGCTAAAATCCGTGTACACGTCTGATGGTTTTTTTCTAAAGCCATTTGTTAGCTCCAAAAGGATTGTCGTAGTAGACCTCCGTGTTATAAATCCATGCTGACATGGAGATATAATCGATCTACAAAGATGTTGCAAATGGGGGGTGTAATAACGTTTTCGAAAAGCTTGGGGATAGCGGACAACTGGGTGATACCTTATAATTGCTAGTATCTGATTTATTTCCCTTATTTAAAGGGGAATAAAAAATGATTTCTTCCAAAAAAAAAAGTTGAATATCAGTAGTTTCTAAGGATAGGGTAATCAATTTGTGAAGTGGTCAGCACATATTGTAAAAAATGATTTTAGTGCACTGTAAAATATTAATGTTAGTGCATAAATAAAGTTCGGACCAATTAAAGCCAGATATAAAGGTATTTAAGCGGTCAAAGTTTGTCTTGTGAAAGCAGTGGATTCGTTTAACAGGCTTTTCAGATTTTTCCTTAAGCTCTGATCCTGCATCAACAGTCAGCTGTAAATTTGGGTGATTAGAATCCTCAGGTTGCGTATGTAAAGACATTCTTAATAAGCAGACGCTTTCTGGATTTGACACAAGACACAAATCCATAAAACAAGGAGGTTACTATTTCCCTATGTACATGTTTGCTATTAACATCTTAAGATACTGCCAGTTTCCTTGTCATTCCTGTTGCATTAGTTATATGTGTATGTATGTACACCATTATGTACATACATATTTAATGGAAATAATTTTAATGACAATACAGGGGAGGTTTTGAGTTTCAAAGGCTTTTTTATATATTATAAGAAGATCTAATCCCCAACCATTATCTTGCGCCTATTAATGCACTTTGCTTAATTCAGTATTACATATAGATATACATACACTGACACATCTTACATATATTTGAACTTCATCTGCACACATATGAACATTACAGTTTATTAGGCATGTACACACAAAAGACACCACACCAATGTTTTTAAAATCAGTAGAGTTAGAATCGGTCGCTACTGCTTGTGTTCTGCCGGAGAGATGCGACTTAAGACGTGCAGCTGCTGTGATACTAAAGTTGAAGATGCTGAAGATGCTACTGAGCTTGGTACAGAGAATCTTGTTGTCGACCATGTCGAAAGCTTTACTAAGAGTGTTAAGAAAGTGGCATATCCTTTAAATACCCTCGGCCTAATACTTCTAACTTGTAACTGCTGTGCAGCTTCTGTTCTTAGTGAACCCCGATTGTTTCATACTTAGCAACAAAGAAAAATTGGATCTGAGATGCCATAATATTTTCAAGGACCTTGGCAAAGAAAGGCAAAACAGAGATTGGTCTAAATTAATTACTACCTTTTGCCTTTGATTTTACTTTAAGAATAGATTTTTAGACACCACAACTATTATTTATTTTTGCTGCTAAAATTCTATAAGATGCTAATGTGCGTAGTTTTTTAAAATAATTTAACATATTGGAAGTTTTATATCGCCTTCATGCTTTTCTCACGGAGCTGTATGTGTTGGCTGATTTCAGCGTTAAATCAAGGATGTTGCATTGGTCGAGTGGTTTGTTTTTTCCTTCTTGAAGTCTATATAAATGTCATTATAGTCAAAGGTAAGGTTATAAGTCAAAAAATAAATAATCCTAGTCATAAATCACAGATTTTCTTAAGCCATTTAAAAAGAACTCAGTTGTAAGAAAAGTGTGTAGGATTTCACTGTTAACTATATATAATCCGAGTGATTTAAAGTTGTTTAACAGATGCGCTTCTTTTAATATGTTGCTGTTCATGTCCTCAGTGACTATAACATCTGTATAGGACATAAAGGCGTCTAAAATTACACCTAACAGGCGACTATAGTTTATTTTGCGCTCTTCTGTCCGACCGTATCTACGCAAACTAGTTTCTCAGTTTTAAAACTATCTGCATGAACTTTCCCAAAAGTTGTCTTTATATTGCAGGTATTAAATAAGTCGGAACGAGCCAGATCGGACGACTATAGAATATAGCTCCCATATATATATAAAAAATTATAATTTTTTGTTTTTAGTGTTTCGCCATATAGTAATGGTTAAATTTCATCAAAATCGGACGTTTATAACTTAAAGCTTCCATGGAAACAATAAAAATATTTAAAAACAAGAAAGAAAGCAAACTTCGGCAAGCCGAAGTTCATATACCCTTGCAGCTATTGCAAGAATTAAACATTTTTGAAAACATTAAAATTATGATTTACTTTCGTATATGTATGATTTGCAGCTTAATTATTTGATTGTTCTTTTATATATTTTTATTATTTGTATGGGAGCTATATGATATAGTCGTCCGATTTTGATGATATTTAAACCATAATTCTGAAATATTTAACCATTGCTATATGTCGAAAAACAAAAAAAAAAATTAAAAAACAGCAAAGTTATAATTTTTTTTCAATTATTTTTCCGATTGTTCCTATGGGAGCTATATGCTATAGTCGTCCGATCCGGCTCGTTCCGACTTATATACTACCTGCAATAGAAAGACAACTTTTGGGAAAGTTTCATGCAGATAGCTTTAAAACTGAGAGACTAGTTTGCATATAAACGGACGGACAGACGGACAGACGGACGGACAGACGGACGGACAGACGGACATGGCTAGATCGACTCTACTAGTGATGCTGATCAAGAATATATATACTTTATAGGGTCGGAGATGTCTCCTTCACTGCGTTGCAAACTTCTGACTGAAATTATAATACCCTCTGCAAGGGTATAAAAATATTTGAAATGTATCTTTTTAATTTTGTAATGTTTTTTAGAATTTTTTTTTTACTTATTAATAACTTGACAGTTTAGAATTAAAATCGGAAAACGATATCATTTAGCTGCCATAGGAACTATCAAATAAGTCTTAATTGAGAGCTGCAAGTCATCATAGCATCAATGTTTTTAAGCATATACGTAAGTCAATAATAATTAATAATAATGGCATGTCCAAACACGAATATTTAGACTTGAAAAACAGAATAATCAACCTTAATTTAAGCTTTAAAACTGAGAGATTAGCCTTAATCGATTCTAGCGACGCTGATCAAGAACATACATATGTATATAATTTATAGGGCCTTCTTAACCGCATTGCAAACTTTTAACTGAAATTGTAATACTCATGTTCAAAACGGTTTGTTTTTAAGTGTGTAAATTTATCCTAACACACGCCAAATGCCACAATAAACGATTTAAAGAACATGAAGAGGAGCAGTATAGCGTATTTAAGAACGCTGTTGGTCTTAAGCAAAGAGCAGGTATGTTTATGAAGAACAACTAATGCTAACTAGATTGGGGACCCGATCTTACCTGCTCCACTTGGGGCGGGGCTTTTTTCCTTATGGACGTGCTTCATGTGGTCCACAAGGGCCTCTGTGCCGAGGAAGAGTTTGTGGCACACAGGACAGGACGTGGCGTTTGGACCGCCTATTAGTGCGGCGTGCTGCTGCAAGACACCAAGATGCAGCTGTAGCTCCTGTTCGATATGCGCGGTGTTTTTCGGTTGCAACAGGGTTTGTGATGGAGCGATGGGGCAAATGGGGCACGACACGACACGACACGCAGTTCAGGTTCGAGGTAAAGGGCGACATCGAAGGGTGTAGTATTAAAGCCAATGATCAATGATCAAATGCAACATGACAGGCAGGTTCGACGACAGCGATTACTTACCTTCGATGTGTGGGTTCGCAGACTAGACTCAGTGGCGAAGCCCTTGCCACATATGTTGCAGTGGAAGGGTCGGTTTTTGGCACGTTCTACCTGAGCGTCGTGGTTCCGTAGATGTTGCTGCAGATTCGAGAGTTGAATAAACGCTCGCCCGCAGTCTGGCAAGTGGCACTTGTAGGGTCGTTCTCCTAAAAAAAGCAGAAATGCAAGCGGTAAGTAAAAAAATGTGTCTATATTTTGGAAATATTTCTAGAAAAACGACAAAAAGGGTCTAAACTTCTAATTTATTTTCTAAAATCAGAAATCCCTTCGTATATTCAAATATAAGGTGTTTTTTCTTACTGCCTCTCTCCAATATTGTATATTCACAGATTTTTAGTTTTAGAAAAAAGAAACACTAGCCCTTTTCTAAAATTAAGAAAACTTCCCTTAAAAGTAAAAATTAATTTTATAAACGGATAGCTAGGGTAAATGGCTTTAAACATCAAACATTGCTATTAAGAATCACTTGCTAAATAAAGCCAATTGATTGCAAACATTTCCCCATTGAATTCTTATAAGGGATTCCTGCATAGTCGAATGTGATGGCTGTGCTAAAAAATCAAATTTTTTTGCTTCCCGTTCATTACATTGTAGCTTATCGTGTTTCCTGTCCTTTCAGTAAAATTACAGAGAGATTTAATTGAGGTATGTTAAGAGGGTACAGTAACCCCGATTTCCCGATTCAGGAGAATTTGATGTGTACTAACTTTAAATAATGTTAAGGCAACAGTATTTTAATTCTTTTGGACTTAGTAATGGTTTAATACTTTAGATTAACGCATTTCATTTTATTTAAATCGCAGAAATTGAGGTGAAAATCATCATAGCTTTAATGTTTTTAAATATATGAGCAAAATGTTTTAGATTTAGATGTTTTTAAAAATATTTAATTTGTGCAATAGCTGCAAGGGTAAAACAATTTTAAATTTTAAATTTAATTCAAAAACAAATACATATTTCAATATTACTATGATTTAAACTGCACTTCAATAATACTGGCTTTCAAATTTAAATAGATGGAATTCTTTAGAGATCAATCATTGATTCAAACAAGAAAGAAAGCAAACTTCGGCAAGCCGAAGTTCATATACCCTTGCAGCTATTGCAATAATTAAATACTTTTGAAAACATTAAAATTGCGTATATGTTGAAAAACATTGAAGCTATGGTGACTTGCAGCTCAATTATTAGATAGTTATTTTGTATATTTTTATTATTTCTATGGGAGCTATATGATATAGTCGTCCGATTTTGATGAAATTTAAACCGTAATTCTGAAATAAATAACCAATACTTTATGTCGAAGAACTAAAAAAAAAATGAAAACAGCAAAGTTATAATTTTTTTTATTTATTTTTCCGATTGTTCCTATGGGAGCTATATGCTATAGTCGTCCGATCCGGCTCGTTCCGACTTATATACTACCTGCAATAGAAAGACAACTTTTGAGAAAGTTTCATGCAGATAGCTTTAAAACTGAGAGACTAGATTGCGTAGAAACGAACGGACAGACGGACATGGCTAGATCGACTCTGCTAGTGATGCTGATCAAGAATATATATACTTTATAGGGTCGGAGATGTCTCCTTCACTGCGTTGCAATCTTCTGACTGAAATTATAATACCCTCTGCAAGGGTATAATAAAAAAAATCTAGTGAAAAGAGATGAATACTTAGCTGATTGAATTTCTTGTGAAGTCATTGAAATTGATTAAAATGTCAAGTTAAAAATGTAATTTAGCTGGATGCCTGTCTTAATTATAAAATATCGACAAAATCTTGAAAAAATCATGCTTTTTTTCGTAATGGGATACTTTGCTTTAGAATTACTTTCTGGTACCCTCTGGAAATTAAGTTTACCAGTGATACATTTTTTGATTTTCGGCTCGATTGTTAAATTTAACAGCTTTTTGGCTTTGCTAGCGTTCCATCGAACGAAGTGCAATTCATGATGTTCGATCTTGAGTTTTAGCAATTTTTTAAAATTTTTTTGAGCTTTAGCATCTACATATATCTATAGTTTAATAACTATCTAGTTCTAGTAAATAAAGATATTAAGCAATTATTCCGCCGTTAAAATTTGACGGACTTTGACGGACTTTGACGGACTTTGACGGACTAATTTATGCGATAGTTAGCCGATGTTTTTGCGGTGCAGCCCTATTCCAACGCAGTCGATCCCTGAAAAACCGTTGAGATTTTTGAAAAAGGTGAAACTCCGATTTTGGTCTACGATAGCTCATTTGACTAGAAATAGATCAATTTTCAACTTTCCCGTACATGTTATAAGGATTGGTTTCAGATTATAGATGCTAGAGCTCGATATAGTTTGAATAAATTGATTAAACTGAAGTTCCAATAACATAAATTAATTCTTAACGAATATTGTGATTACGTTATCTTAAAGATAGAACATTCACAATACTAACAAGCTATTAACTTCGACAATCCGCCGGTAAACCGATTTAATGATAAAGTCGACCGATTATATTAAAAATTAAATAAAATACAACTTTTGGGCATGAAGATAGCTGAAGAACTGAGTTCTTGCTTGCGTAGAAATGTCTTCTTCAAAGCGTTGCAAGGGTAAACAAAGAGGTTAAAAACGCAAGTTACACCAAAAGAAACTGGTAACATACATCTTTGGAGAGATATTTCTTGAATTATCTTGAATCTTAAGAACTTTAAGACTTTTTAACTCTTTGCCGCTAAGCAATTACTTAGGGAATATTTTTTAATTACTACTTAGTTTTAAAATTAAGTTAGCTGATAGCCAGATAAGGACTTATCCATTGGCGAATAAATAAATAAATAAATAAATAAATTAGGCTGTACAATCAGGGAGTGCACAAAACTAAACTTTCAGATAGAAGGAAGCGTTTCCGACTTAATTAGGTGAGCATATTTTAGATCAGGATCAATAGCCGAGTCAATCTAGCCATGTCCGTCTGTCCGTTTCTACGCAAGCTAGTCTCTCATTTTTAGAGTTATCTGCATGAAGTAATCTCAAAAGTTGTCTTTCTGTTCCAGGTAGTATATAAGTTGGAACGAGCCGGATATATAGCATATAGCTTCCATAGAAATCAGGATAAACTGGATCGACTCTCCTAGTGATGCTGATCAAGAATAAATACACTTTATTAAGCTGAAATTTTAATACCCTCTGCATACAAGGGTTTATAAAATTTAAAGAGTCGTGCTCTTAATGCAACACACCTTGTAAAAACTTTAGACACCAGAGTCTCATAGCTTTGAGCAACGCCAACGCGCCCACGATAACGAAATAGCTGAAGGCGCCTAATTGACTGATTGACTTCATTTAACAAGATTAAAATATAGTTCTCGAAATTGACGCAGACGGTTACCTAAAATATTTTGCAACGTCTCAGATACAAGCGATGTCAAAGCGGGGCAATGACGCATTTCAGATTTGAAGCCAAATTAATTTCACGTAATCGCGCAATTAAATGAAGAGTGGAAGGTCGTCGGAAGGACCGGACCGGACCGGACCGGACCGGACGACTAAAACGTTTAAGCTACTTAGTGTCACTTTGCCTTCGAGTAACATTAAATACAAATAAATAGTCCCAAGTGCAGTCGTGTAGACGAAGCTGCGGTCGAGTCCGCCACTTAGAGCGGTCCTTGTCGCGGCACAACCCTTCGCCAAGTCGGCGACTAAGCAGCAGGACTAAGGACCACCAGGTTCACACCTCATCGTCACGTAGTCGCTGCCCGACGACACTTCATCTGACCTGTCGCTTTAAGCGCCTTAAAGATGCACTGGCCGGGTTGCAGCCTCAGCCTCAGCCTCAACCTCAACTCCTTTGCGGTCCTTCCTCGCCTAATGGGCTTTGCCATCCATTTTCCACTTTCCACTTTCCACCTTCCATCTCCGTGCCACACCGCCGGCGCTTGAGAAACCGGCCTGCATGGTATAATTACCCAATCCCAATCCCAATCCCAATCCCAATCTCAATCCAACTGCCGGCGATGGGAAACCCGTCCGCTGAAAGCGTGAATTCCGTCGCGGGTCAGGCTACTCCTATTACTGGGGTAAGGCAGCGCTAAGCAAACTGGTTTTCAATTAAAGCGTCTTTGATTTCTAGTTCCCTGGGTCCCAGAAAGTCAGAGCGTTGAATACAAAGTCATAAACAGCAATTGTAGAGTTGCAATCAGGTGTGAAAGGAAGTGGTTGCGGGATTAGGGGACTGCTTCGAGTTGGGAAGGTGGAAAGGCATTGAATGCAGCTAATGACGTCGAATGTTTTCTCATATTTGCGAGTCCTTCCAGCTGTCCTGAGTCAACAAACTGCCTGCCTGCCTGCCTCCCTGCCTGCCTGCGAGGAAGAATGCGAAGGCGGCAGGGAGGCGGCCACTGACTCAAAAAGCTCTCCACGCTGATTTAATTATCTTTGCCATTTGCAATGCCGACCCGCCGGTTTCGCCAGCTGCAAAGATGTGTTGAATGCGAATGCGAATGCGAATGCACAAGCACAAGACCTTATTTTAGGGATGCAAAAGAGATTTAAAGAGAAGACGAGGACCAAGGTCAGGCTGGGATTTCGCGAGTGCGGGAATCACGAGAACAGTGAGTCCACTTTCCGTTTTAATTACATAAAAACGAGCAGTGAGCATTTTCCATCATCTCGGTAATTAAAATTACAATAATTAGAAAAAGCTCATAAATTGACGAAACCAGGGGCCGAAAAAACGGACATTTAATGTAAAGTATTTAAAAGCAAGGGCTTTGTGCCTTGTAAATCGATTGACTCACTCTCTTACTGTGCATTTGCCAAGCTGTCATTTCAAGAAATGGAAGAAATGGTGTGCACAACTCTTACTCATACGCTTACACCCCAAAGTTGACTATGCATTCAGGATCGCTCCCTACAGCTTAACCATTCCTTCTGTCGTTCAAATAATGTATCGGGATTTACATGTCCGGCAGCTCAGTTAAAGCATCTCAGAAATTATTATCAGTATTACGGTTACGATTTGGTATTTAATCGTTTGTATAACTCTGACGGTTACGGAGGAAAAGCTGCTAATGAAATTGTTCCACAGACAAACTTCTTTAACTGAAATTTTCTTTAACCTAAACAAAACTAGTTATGGAACTTATTGCTATATATGCATAAGACAATATTGTGCTTCTAAGTCGAACTTCCATCGCTCGCCTTTTTTATAACTCGAACCAAATGTTTTTCCTAGCGCGTTTTCGTTCCGTTAGACACAAAGCTGCACAATAAAATCAGCCTTGTTATTTAACCATTTTAAAGCAGCATGCCAATTACAAAATAAATTGAATAAATATAAAGTAACTTTTTTGGTAAAATACAAAATAGTCGTCACAACATGTGATATCAGAAATATTCGGAGTTGAAAAGTTTCAAAGGAGACATTACCGATTTTATAAAGTATATAAATTCTTAATCAGCATCACTACGAGAGTCTAGCTGTTTATACCCAGTCTAGTCTCTCAGTTTAAAATCTCTCTGCAGGAAATTTTTCCAAAAGGAAAAAGGTACAATATCAGTCGGAACTAGGCTGTTCGGACGACTATATCCTATAGCTGCCATTGGAACAGTCTTGAAAAAAAGAAATGAAAATAATAACTTTCCTTTTTTCAATTTTTTTGTTGGTTCTATCTATCAGCACTTGTGTATTGAAAAACCAAAGAAAACGGTTCTGTTCTCTGATCACAAAATAATTATGTCTATAATAACCTTGCATATATTAATAATAATAATAATAAATAATTCTAATAAGAATTTTTCATAATCGAACTGGATGCGCTCATTCGCATTTTAAAAATGCCTTAGTTTTCTTGTTTATTGAATATCTTATTGAGTATCGGATTGAGAAAATTGTGATGTCGTTGGACGCGTATTTAATGCGAGAATACAGCCATGCCATAAAAGTTTGACTTTCTAAAACTCTTAGTAGCACAACCTCTTATAAAAGTGAAACATTTTGATTGCTATATCATTATTAAGATCGGACTATTCTGAGCGAACTTCGAATATTGCGGCTCAACGGTGCTCATCGTCACTACATGTACTACCGTCTATAGTGATAAATAAAACAATCAAAATACCAAAAAAGAAACACGAATCGTTACCAATATTTTAGTATATTCCCCCTGAAAGTAGAAATATCGCTGATTAAAAAGTTAACATAAAGATAGTAAAAATTAACATGAAAATTCACTAACCAATACGAAAATATTAAAAAAAAATTATTATTTAAGATTTAAAACATTGAAAAATGTTGCGATTTGTTATTTTCTCTCTTAAGGCTTGGTCTTCAGGCTACCAAAATTGCTCCCAAAAAAAACTTTATATCAAAAAAACGGCACAAAATTTTGCCCCTTTTTTATACTCTTGCAGAGGGTATTATAATTTCAGTTAGAAGTTTGCAACGCAGTGAAGGAGACATTCCGACCCTACAACGTATATATATTCTTGATCAGCATCACTAGGAGAGTCGATCTAGCAATGTCCGTCTGTCCATCCGTTTCTACGCAAACTAGTCTTTCAGTTTTAAAGCTATCTGCATAAGACTTTCCCAAAAGTTGTCTTTCTATTGCAGGTAGCATATAGCTCCCATAGGAACAATCGAAAAAATGAATAAAAATATTATAACATTGCTTTTTTTTATTTTTAAAGGTTCTTAGACAAATAGTGATGGTTAAATATTTTAAAACTAAAAAAAAATATTAAAAAAACCTTAAAAATGTTGTTTTTTTAATGTAACTTTTTTATTTTGTAATTTTTAAAAAAAATTTTCTTACCTATTAATAATTTGGGAGTTTTGAATTACGCTTTTAACTCTATTAAAATCGGAAAACGATATCGTATAGCTGTCATAAGAACTATCGAATAATTTAGATGCAAATCGTCATAGCTTCAATGCTTTTAGACATATACTCAAGTAAATCATAATTTTAATGTTTTCAAGAATATTTAATTTTTGCAATAGCTGCAAGAGTATTTAAACTTCGGCTTGCCAAAGCTTGCTTCCTTTCTTGGTTTTATATGAAGTTTTTTGTTTTGGGAGCAATTTTAGTAGCCTGAATATCAAGCCTAACTCGTTAAAAGGCATTTTTGTTTGATATCAGATGTTTTTTTTTACCACAGTCCAAGATCCTCAGTAGCATGAGAACCTAAATTAAGTTTTTAAATATCGCCGATCAGACGACTATATCCTCCAGCTGTCGTAGAAACAACTTTATTTTTATTTTCGTAAATTGCTTTTTGACGAAATTCAATGTTCAAGCAGCGTAAGTATCTCTAAACTATTAAAACTTTCCGTGTTTGCTGTTTTTTTTAGGGTAATTTAGTAGTTTTGAAAAAGCAAAAATTTATGAAACAAAAAAGAAAGCAATCTTCGGCATGCCGAAGTTCATATACTTTTGCAGCTTTTGCAAAAATTAAATATTCTTGAAAACATTAAAATTATCATTTACTTGCGAATATATTCAAAAACATCGATAGTTCGTATGTCAGCTGTATGATATCGTCTTCCGATATTAATAAATTTAAAAGCGTAATTCTGAACTGTCAAATTATTAATAAGTCAAAAAGAATTTAAAACAAGAAAGAAAGCAAACTTCGGCAAGCCGAAGTTCATATACCCTTGCAGCTATTGCAAGAATTTAAAATTTTTGAAAACAAATTATGATTTACTGCGTATATGTTTAAAAACATTGAAGCTATGATGATTAGCAGCTCAATTATTTGATAGTTATTTTATATATTTTTATTATTTCTATGGGAGCTATATGATATAGACGTCCGATTTTGATAAAATCTAAACCATAATTTTGAAAAATTTAACCATTGCTATATGTCGAAGAACTGAACAAAAAATTAAAAAACAGAAAAGTTATAATTTTTTTCATTTATTTTTCCGATTGTTCCTATGGGAGCTATATGCTATAGTCGTCCGATTTTGATATAATTTAAACCGTTAATCGAAAATATTTAACCATTACTAAGTGTCGAAGGACTAAACAAAAAATTAAAAAACATCAAAGTTATAATTTTTTTCATTTATTTTTCCGATTGTTCCTATGGGAGCTATATGCTATAGTCGTCCGATCCGGCTCGTTCCGACTTATATACTACCTGCAATAGAAAGACAACTTTTGGGAAAGTTTCATGCAGCTAGCTTTAAAACTGAGAGACTAGTTTGCATATAAACGGACGGACAGACGGACAGACGGACAGACGGACAGACGGACGGACAGACGGACAGACGGACATGGCTAGATCGACTCGCCTAGTGATGCTGATCAAGAATATATATACTTTATAGGGTCGGAGATGTCTCCTTCACTGCGTTGCAAACTTCTGACTGAAATTATAATACCCTCTGCAAGGGTATAAAAAATCCGAAATAAAAAAGTTAATTTTTAAAAATATTTTTTTTATTTTAATACTTTTATTGTTCCTATGGTAGCTATACGCTATAGTCGTCCGATCCGGTTCGTTCCGACTTATGTACTACCTGCAATAGAAAAATAACTTTTGGGAAAGATTCATGCAGATAGCCATAACTGACTGAAATTATAATACCCTCTGCAAGGGTATAAAAACGGCAGAGTTAATATATATTTCTATTTTTTCTTTTGCGATTGTTAATTTTGTAGCCATATGATATAGTCGTCCGATCCGACAATAGAAAGACAATTTTGGAAAAGGTTCGTGGACATAGAGGCCAGTTTGCGTAGAAACGGACGGACGGGTTAAGTCGACTCTCGACTGATGCTGATCAGGAAAATATATTCTGTATGGGGTCAAATATGTCTCCTTCACTTCGTTGTAAGCTTCTAACTGGAATTATAATACCCTCTGCAAGGATACACAAATTAATTAACCCGCTAACTTCATCATTTTCGCACAGCCAAACGCGTGTGCTCGAGTCGAGTTGAGGTTGTCTTAATCGTCCGCTGCACTGCGTTAACCTTGATAACAAATCAGCTGATCGGACTGGTTGCATAGGACTGTATATAGAGTGCTGGTATACAGGCGCTGGCTGGGGAGATGACAGACAACAGATGACAGCGCGGGCGATCACTTACCTGTGTGGAGGCGCGTGTGCTGCTGGACATGCGAGAGCTGCTTAAATCTACGATCACAGTAGGAGCACTTGTAGGGCTTCTCTCCGGTGTGCACCCGGATGTGCTGCACGAGCTGGTGGTTACTGGAGAAGCTCTTCATGCACTGCTGGCACTGGTGCGGCTTGGTGTCCGAGCCGGGCGTGATGCTGCCGCCCAAGGAGGCCGGGCCGGCGACGCCGTGGGTTCCTAGGCCGACGCGGGGGATCTGCTGCTGGATTTGCTGCATCGCGCTTTTGTGCATGAAGAGCTGCAAGGCATGGAACGCGTTAAAACGGTGCAGCTAAACAGCCAGCAAACAGATGTGAAATAAACTCTGGGCCAAAGGCAGTGTACACCTCAAGCTCGGGGGCTCAGTACGTCTGTCACTGGCAGGTATACTTATAGACACTTCTTGTTCACCTGCTGCGCCAGATTCAGTGTTTTTATGAGCTTATTTAAAAATGTGTACCGTTGCATGTTGTACAAGCGAAGAACATGTCAGCAAAATCCGAACTTTTTGCGGAAAGTCAAAACTCAAAATTATTTAATGTAAATAAACAGTTGTGTGTACGGTAAGGGTTAAGTTTCCAGACGCAATCGACATTGTGAGGTCATCATTCGTTTTGCTGATTTTTGATAATTTATCATTGGGGCCATGCCACTCCAATAAATAATTGTAGCATAAAAGAGGCACACACGACGCTCTCTCTCCCTCTCCCTCTCCCTCTCCCTCTCTCTCTATTTCACTATTCCCCACTTGTAGCTTTCTACTTCCCTTTAAAACTAAAATAAAACTTCTAGATCTGCAGCTACCTTTTGGGTCCCCTGTAACTATTAACCTATAAAGACAATTTTCATTATCTGCGTACCGATCGAGATAATTGAAGATAATTAATGTATTCACCTAATAAATATGTTAATTTTTTGTTACAAACATTTTTTTTAACAAGAAAGGAAGCAAACTTTGGCAAACGGAAGTTTATATATTGCAGCTATTGCAAATAAAACAATTTATAAATTTCGAATTATATTAGATCCCATTAAAACCCATTGCAGCTATAAAGATTTGCAATCCTATGGCAGCTATATGATATCGTTTTCCTATTTGAATAAAATGAAAAAAAAAATATTCTGAATTATTAAATCATTTCCAAAAATATTACAAAAAAAACTTGAGAATTAGAGAAGTTTAAATTTGTTGTTCATTTATTTTTTTAATATTCCCATAATTAATGAATTTTTTTTATAATGTGTCCCAATTGTTCCAAAGGGAGCTATTTGCTAAAGCTGCCCGATCCGGGTCATTCCGACTTATAATACTATCTGCAACAGAAAGACAATTGCGAAAGCTTCAAGCAGATAGTTTTCAAACTGAGAGACTAGAACGGACTAAAACGGACTAAAACGGACAGACGGACGGACAGGCAGACGAAATCGACTCCCCTTGCAATGCTGATCCAGAGTATATATACTTTATAGGGTCGGACATGTCTCCTTCACTGCGTTTCAAACTTCTGACTGAAATTATATTACCTTATAAACATAAAGGCAAAATATCGAAATTTGGATGTTTCAAAGAATATTACATTTTTGCAACAAGGGTACATAAATTTCGACTTGCCGAAGTTTTCTTCTTTTCTTGTTTCTGTCATATTTTTCGAGATGCAAGGTTATGCAACGTTAAAAAAAAACTCAAAAAATCTAGTGAAAAGCGAAAAGCTTTTCAAGTCATTGAAATTGATTAAAATTTCACGTAAAAAAAAACTTCGCTGATTTTCTTAATTGATTCGTAATTATAGACAAAACCTTTAAAAAATCATTAACTTTTTCGAATTGGGATACTTTTCTTTAGAATTTCTTTCGGGTAACCACCGAAAATGAAGTGATTCCTTTTAAAATAAATTCATTGATTAATAACAACCAAATTCACCCGCCTTCGCGCGGTTTTGCTTAAGTTTTCGAGAAATGCGGTTTTTACTATGAACTTAATTTGAGGGAGATGCAGTTTTAGATGTCGAATACAGCCCAAAAGTATGCTGCATCCCTTATATCTTCTAATTCAAATACAAATATACATACAAAAAAAAATATAATAATGCATACACTGTAGGGCCTTAATGACGTCATCATAAATCATTTCAATTACTTAAAAATTTAAAAATTGTTTTTAAACATTTGAAAATGAAAAAAAAAAACCAAAACAAAAATGTTGATCGGTCCATTATTTGAATAATATTGGAAACTTGGGTACCAAAAGATTTTTTAAAAGCTAATAAATCTTAAACCACTTAATATTTTTTAGTGGCTTAAATGTATTTTGTTTTGTTGAATCTTGTTCTTAAATGTGTGTTTGAATTAAATAAATCCGTTTCCTACTTGTTTTCTAGAAATAAAATTAAAAATATTTTTTGACTTAGGTTTGGATTAAAAAAATCCTTAAAATTTATTTATCTATTGAAATATCCGTCCTTTAAGAAGATAATCTTCTTTATTTCAGCTTCCTAGCTGTGCAGGAATAGAAATGCCAGATTTTTTCCAAGAGTTTTGGAGATCGAAAAAAACTCAAACAAATTCTTCAATAATAAAGATGCCATCGGGTTGACCAGTTTAAAAAAAAAAAAATAATAATAAAAACAAAATGGCGTCACTAAGCAAATATTTTTCAAGAATATTTTCAAATTACTTATAATCTAAATTTTTTTTTTGTTCCGAGGCAGAAGCGATATATAGTTGTAAAACCAAGATATATACCACATTTCAACGGAATCGGTTCAGTAGAACTTTAAATATCAAGTAAGAAAAAGTAATTTCGAGAAAAACACGTTTAAAGTTAAGAAAACATTTATAATCGGCTGTATCTCATAGAAAGATTTGAATTTTTAAAATCTTTTAGGGATCATGTTTTCTGAAAGTCTAAATTTTCAAAATATAAAAAAAATGTTTTTTTTTTTCAAATTTCTAGACCAGAAGGGACCTTACCAGTGTAACTTTTTTTAAATCATTTTTTTTTTTTGCTAATCGATAGTTTACAATTCCAAATAAATTATGTAAAAGCGGCAAGGTCGAATATAACAAATTCTTTTTGAATGGCAGCGTTCTAAAAACCTCAAACTTAAACTACAACGACATTTTTGAGAACTGCGACATCATAGCGGTTTCAAATTAACACTCAATATTCTTAAATGGGTCCTACCTACAATGGTTACTACCTACAATCACCTGCAAATTTTTGAATTGGTAAAAATTTGTCCATTTGGTAGAATTTAAAAAGTCATTTTTTCACCCCAAATAACGACTTTATTTCATCCCTATGTTATTTTGTTGATATTTGGTATTTTTTAAAGATCGTAGGCCATTGTAGGGGAATTTTTCGATTTCAGCCTCGGCATATAGTCAACAGTCCCGTTATTTTTCAATATTAAAAAAATAAACAAGAAAGGAAGCAAAGTTCGGCAAACCGAAGATCAAATACCCTTGAAGTTATTGCACAAATAAAATATTCTTAAAAACATTAAAATTTTAATTTACTTGCGTCATTAAAGCTATAATGATTTGCAGTTTAATTATTCGATAGTTCCTATGGCAGCTATATAATACCGTTTTCCGATTTTAATAAAATTAAAGATTTAATCAGAATTGTCAAATTATTAAAAGGTCAAAAAGAATTAAAAAAAAAATTACAAAATAGAAAAGTTACATTTATTGTTCCCAAGGGAGCTTTATGTTAAGTCGTCCTATTTTGATGATATTTAAACCGTAAATCTGAAATAACTAACCATTACTTACGATTGTTCCTATGAGAGCTATATGCTATAGTCTTTCATGCTGATAGCTTTCAAACCTAGAGACTAGTTTGCGTAGAAACGGACGGACAGACAGACATGGCTAGATCGACTCTCCTAGTGATGCTGATCAAGAATATATATACTTTATAGGGTCGGAAATGTCTCCTTCACTGTGCTGCAAACTTCTGACTGAAATAATACGCCAAAGTTAAAAAGTTGAGGAAAGATGAAAAGTTGTAGTACAAAATTAAGAAAATATATTCGATATATTTTGCTGTTTTACCGCTAAAATGACAGGTTTTTGAAAAGGTGAAACAACAAACGTTTTTTAATTTTATCTGCGTAATACAACAAAAAGCGAATTTCCGATCGTTCAAACGGACAGACAGACGGACACGGTTAGACGGACTTTACTATTGATTCTGATTTCAAATATATTTGTATGTCATTGGGTCAGAAACGTTTCATTCTACCTGTTACGTTACTTTCAACAAATACAATGAAATAAATATACATAAATAAGTAAAAAACTAAAAAACTCCTTGGAAGAAATATTAAAATGTGTTTTATACCTCCATTGTTTGGGTTTTGTATCGTTACGATACGTATCATACGTATCACATGCCCTTTGTTCTTCTAGGGAAGTGGTTCGGGACAAATATCAGTAGCAGTACTCGCAATAAAATAAGGATATTGGTGCAGTGTGGTGGTCAGGGAAAGGGCGAGGCAGATTTCGTGTGGCTCTCTGGTTGGTTGGCGGCCAAGCGAAGGTTTGTTTCCACTGGTAGCGGCTTTAGCAAACTTCCATCGTATCGCCACTCGGTTTTGTCCGAGACAGACTGCACTTTTTATTCACTTGGCTCTGGTAGGTATGTGGACAGCAGAGGCAAGCCCGACTACGCCGTCTGTTTCTGCCCGTCGCCCTCCGACTTGGAATCGCGTAAAAATATAAAATAACACCACTGGCCCAACTGACGGTGTGTCCAGACTCGGCCAACGGCAGTAGCGAATTGTCGGCAAATGAGATTGCGATGAAAGAACAGGTCCAGCCAGACATTTTAGGGCCGGTGCGAGGAGATACTGGCTAAGTAGTCAGGCTGGCAACGGGAGTAAACTGCTTATATATGTATTCACTTACAATTCGAAATGTTAGTGGACGAAATGGAGCATGAAGGCTCCTTGGAGACTTGGTATGTTCTGAACATCCAAATACAATGTTTGTTAATCCCATTAATGTCATACATTATTATCAATTCAGATTATTCTTTCTTTCCATTGAATCAGATTTTCTCTAGTCAAGATATTCTATTAAACGGAAACTCATAACAATTCAACCTAGTTTTAGAGCTAAACATCCTTTAAACGGTGTTAATTATCTGATAAGAAACGATCTTAAAATGTATTTAATTTAAAGTGTAGGTTCACATCAGTGTTGTTTTTCCTTTAAAACTAATAAAAACATAATAATTAAAAACTGCGAAGTTAAGGATATAAGATACAACATGTCAATATTTAGGTCAAACCAAAGGTTTTGTTTCATGGAGAAATAAAATGTCTCACACTAATACAATAAATTATGTGCCGCCCAAAACAATGCAATGCAAGAGAGTACTGTATATTTTTTAGAAGGGGTAATCACTTTTTATTAAAAGCTAACTTATTATTAACTCATTCTGAGATTGGGTTACTTTAAAAAATAAAAACTAAACTTAAATTACGGGTAAACAGTAATTTGATTTTTTAATGCATTATGCATTCTCTCTCAATATAACATACCGTATAATAAACATTGTCGAAACACATTAAAATGTAATATCTAAAGAAAAAAATATCAAATGGGAGAGAGGAGAGAGAGGAAGAGAGGAAGAGACGTGGAGAGAGGAGAGCGCGCTTAGAAAGTCACAATGAACTTCCATACATGCATTACCCTATTTCGTTCCCCTTTTTAAGTCCTGCCTTCTTCATTCGTTTCGTTTTTATTTTCGTTCGCTTCGCCTCGCGTTCTATTCCTTCCGCCAACTCCGCTCGACCCCTAGCACCGTGCAGCAAGGGACGCAAACTCGAAGAGGGATGGACTTAGGTCCACCGGACGCTCCTTTCACTCTATCTTAGGGGTAGCAGGAGGCGGTACCCATCGCTTCTTTTCGCTTCGCTCGGCGTGTGGTCGAGGTGAGTGGAATAAAAATGGTCGAAAAAAACGTGAGGGGTGGACAAATGAGTTCGTTCGGCTGGGTGCGAGTTCGCTTGTTCGTGTGCAAGCGACTCACACAGACATGTATGTACAATATACATACATATACCCATTCATACAAACATAAATAAGGACCTACGAATGTGCTTATGTCTGCGTCTTAGCCGTTCAAGACAAAACATCCGAGGGAAGGAAGGGAAGTTCAGACGTGCAGTACGCCGGTTTCCCCAATGTGCAAAAAAGTCGTTTATTTCTGCACCATTTTTATGATATGGTTGTCCAAAAGGCGCTTCACCCTAAATTACGACTTATGGATTGGGTATATTTAACAAAATTGCAATACAAAAAATACAATCTGTACAAAAGCTACCACTCTCCTACTTATATTTATTAAACAAACAGCTAGTCCTCTTTGTATTGCATAGCTTTCCTATGGCCCCCAAAACTATGATCGGAACAACTAAGCAAAATAACATTGCATTTGTTACAGAAGCAGAACAATTGTTTGGAACAACTTTTAAAAGTTTACTTCGTTATTTATGTATATTAAATAGATCACAGTGTCTTTTAAAGATTCATCCTTATCTTAGCCTATTCCGAAAATTTGTTTTCAATTACAGCAACATGAAGATTTTTGTTTTTTTAAACTTTCTGTTATCCTGCCCGATTTAAACATTTAATTTAGTATACACCACTTTATAATATGTCTATTAAGAAAGAAGTGTGTTGACTGATAAATTTGTCTCACAACTACAAGAGTAGTTAAACTTCAGCTAACCGAAGAAAGCCTTTTTTTAAATGTATCGATTATAAAACACCGGCTCTACAGTGGGTAAAATAACAAAAAACAAAACATATTTTTTATAGAGTAATAAATAACTTTTGCAACAAATAAAGAAATTTTGTCGCAAATATAAACAACTTTTTGCTATATTCAAGTCCCATTATCGAGGCTTGCGCTTTAATTGAGGCCTTGATATTCACAAAGCGTTGTGGCTTTGCTGGACTTTTTTACTTCTCCGGTACGCACTTTCTGGATTACCAAGTACCATTTAATATCAGTTACACAAGAACACTAAATTAAATTGTGTGAAATTTTGACGAACCAATTTTATTTTAGTCCCATACATCATTTCCATCAGCTAAGAGTTCCGAGGCATAGCCAAGATAACGAAAGTCTAATGATTGACGGCATTTTTAATTACGTTGCCCATATAATCACAGTTACCTATTTTTTTTTTGCTGACAAAAATTCTTAACACACCACCGCATTATAGAAAAATAGTCCCCGGCTTGGGCCATTTTCCATGATTTTGAATATGATGTCAACTTTGAAGTCTCTGATTTCTCTGACACAATTTCTCCAATCTTAAAGTGCCTATAAAAATAAAATTTTATGTTGCACTTTTAGAAATAGACCAGAGCACTACATTTTTTGCGCCTTCGACTTCTGAAGACTGTCTTTTTTTATCCTTGTGCTATGAAACTGCAATTTCTTTACTTATTGCCGGATTCCATTGGCGCATTAAATCGCATTTGGCATAATGCGCATTTATTTACCCAGCGAACCCCATAAGGCTAAGTGCGCCCCAATCGTTTTTAGAAAAAATACCGAAAAATACCGATACTTAACGATATTTAGTTAGTGGCGCAATTTTTTTCGAATATAAAATCTATTTCGCATAAAAATGACTAAAAACAAGAGCAAGCGCAGCAAATCCTAGTGGCAATAGCACTGGCAATACTTCTGAAACTGGCAGGAAAAAACTACTGCATATAAGGGGTATCCTTGCTCTATTTTGGAAACTTTGGTGGTCTCCTTTCAAAACCCGTCAAACAACACCATCAGCTTCCCTTCCAAGTTGGCAAATGCCTTGAAAAGATTACGAATTTCCGGCTGTGCATTAAAGAGTTCCGTTAACTCACTTATACTCATGATTTTTAATAAGTTTTGTTTGGATTTGCGACAATTCAAAAGTGAACAAAACGAGATCAGCTGTTTGTGCCATTCACATGTCGTAGAAGCATTAGTTAAATGCGTCAATGGAATCAGGCTATTATTACTCAAAATGTTAAAAGAAAAGAAAAAGCATTGAGTATGAAGCAGAAATTCTTCGTAAGAATTTGCTTTTTTTTTTTGTTTGTACACTGGTATTATTTCAAACACTTTACGTAACGCGAATGGCCATTAACATAAAAAATAAAATAACCTAAAACAAATTTGCAAATTAAAGAAAATAAAATATTGCATAAATTTGAGAACGCATACATTTAATTTATAAAATCTATTGTTTTTTGTACATGTGTTAAACAATAAACTGAAAGATCAATTAATTTTAAATTATATATAACATATTTTATGTTTAGACGCCCGGCTTGCTTGCAAATAAAAGCAAATGAGGCAGAATATAGCGGGTGTCAACTTGCAATATTAGCAGTTGAAGCATTTATCGATATATTTTTGTTTGCAAAATAAGTGTGCGAATAAACTAAGTACCACTAGATTAAAAACTATACAAATATTAACGCTAAATTAAACGAAAATAAATTAACTCGAAGTAATGCAACTATAAACAACAGTTTCGTTAGAGTAAAAGGAACTGATTCTCCTCATCTACTGCGTCCGGGAAAGGCGCTTCCTGGCTCGGACAAGTTTTTCTAAATGCAGGGATGTACATATGTACATCTGCATACAGATGATTGTTATTTGTGCGTAAGGTGTTCGGGGATGTGCTGTGCTGCGCTGCAGCTGTGTACATGTGTCTTTGACGAGGAAGAGTACTATACACAACGGAACAGATGCCAACTCACTCGTTGCAGGGTTGACCAACATTCTTCAAGGGTGCGTTCACTGATCGCGGCTGCGCTGCTCGACCGGGATAGCTGAAGCTGAAAAACAATCGGAGGTGTTCGTTGTTAATTACAAATAAGTCTGGCGGGTAGTATTCGTTTCTTATTTAAAACCCATTTCACTGATTCAACGATGTGATCAATGGTAAATCAAAGAGTTGCTCAACCAGTGTTGGGGAATCGGTTTATAATTTCTAGCTAAGAATGTAACTAAATTTGCAAATGTACAATGTACTGGTCATAGCTCGAAATAGACTGAAATCGTAGTGTTTTTCATCATTATACACAAGCAAAGTGCAACTTAAAAATATCTTCAATGACTTCTATTCAAACGACTATTTCTTCCTTTTCATGATTGGCACTTTCAGAAATGTGTGCCATTGTCGGCAACATATTACATATTACATCATGGCATTACATATAATTTGTTTCCAATTTCTTACTACATTATCTAGGCTCAAATATATGTTACCTTCCCCAATACTGGTTAGCGCTCCAAAATTATGAAATGCATTTTTTTGTAAGAGACTCATCATTATAAGCTGTGCTTATTTCTCAAAATAGCTGTAAGTGTGTGTGTAAAAAGATCTTTACAAACTTAATTTTAAAAAGACTTAATATACTTATATTTAAACTACTATTTGTTCTTTTTTATGATTTGTACTTTTATTCAAGTTTAAACCATTAATTGGTCTTTCCCAATTTTTAAAGCAACAGGAAGGGAAGCAAACGTCGGCAAGCCTAAGTTCATATACCCTTGCAGCTTTTGCAAAAATTAAATATTCTTCAAAACATTTAAAATTTGATTTCTTTGTGTATATGTTTAAAACATTGACGCTATGATGCTTTTCAGGTCAAATATTCGATCGTTCCTATGGCAGCTTTATGAACGTTTTCCGAATTGAATAAAATTAAGAGCGTAATTCTGAACTATTAAATTATTACTAAGTCAAAAAAAAAAATTAAAATTAAAATATAGAGTTACATTTTTTAATAATTTTTTTTAATATTTTGATGGTTTCTATGGGAGCTATTTAAAAAGTCTGATTTTGGTGAAATTTAAATTTAATCTTGAAGAACTAAAAAAAATGTAATAACTGCAAAGTTATATTTTTTTCTTTTATTTTTCCGATTGTTCCTTTAGGAGCTATATTCTATAGCCGTCCGACCCGGCTCGTTCCGACTTATATACTACCTGCCATAGAAAGACAACTTTTCTAAAAGTTTCATGAAGATAGTTTTAAAACGGACGGACTGACGGACATGGCTAGATCGACTCTCATAGTGGTGCTGATCAAGAACATATATACTTTATAGGGTCGGAGATGTCTGCTCCACTGATTGAATTTTGAATTTTTATAAAAATATGTACAACCATCACAATATGCCCAACCTAACAACAATAAGTGGGACCTATCCTAACATAGTGTGCATAAATAACGAAATTTACTCAAAAGTCCACGGTAAATTTCATAATAGTTCATTTGTTAAAAATTCTTTAACGCCCCTGACTGCAATAATAATAGCACTTTCACTATTTTAACAATCGTTTCTAATTAAACCATTAATTTTGAAAGTTGTGAATGAAAAATAAAAATTACATCGTGCTCCTTTTCACAGTCAAGTGTCATTGTATTTACGCTAACGATCTAGATAGGCGATCGTTAATCGAAACAAATCGGAACGAATACAACACAGTTCAGTTCCCTTGCGGTGTGTGTTTTTAAATTTTATTTCTTATTCCGGCGATTTGTTTTCTTGTCCATATTTCCGAATCAAAGTTTTGCGAACTGTGAGGCACTTGTATGTCATATTAGGCGGCTTTTTGTATCGGTTAGATGCACGGGCGACACAATGCTATCAACTGCATCAGCACTGAAGGACGCCCCTTCATATTAAATTTGTGGATCGGAAAGACTGTCGTGTTAGAGAAATTCTAGCGACGAGGAGGCATTTCAACCGCGACTGCCTCAGTGGATACAGGTTAGTGGTGGTGCTTCAAAATTACTTGGCTTCGCGACCACGAAAATAGCTGGCGCACGGACAAACTGATTTTAGTTTTGTTGGCTTGTTTAGCTACGCGAAGCAGACCGGAGCACACAACCTTACGGTCTGATGTCCTTTGAACTTCTGCCGGCTCGGCGAAGTATCATCAGCAAACGGGACACTGCGTGAGTGCCGGGGGTTCTTCTTAAACTATCCTGTTTTGCGGCGTCGTCGTCGTCGACTTCGTCTCTGTCGCTGCCGCAGTTGAGCTTCTAATTCGGCGTCTCTTTCTCTATGAGCTATTATTGTTTTCTTGAAGAAATAAGCACGGACGCAGTTGTAAAAAACGACTGAAAGAAAAAGCTTCCGAAAGAACGGCATCTTGCGCTCTCGTTTCTCTTTTCCTAATGCACAGAGTGAGTGTTGGGGTGGGGGGTGAAAAGAAAACAAGTCCAGGGAAAACAAAAATTATGGCAGCGGCAGAGTTTAAGTCTGGACTAGGAACAGTGAACTGCCTTTTACGTCTGCATGTATGTGTGTGTTGTGAAACTGAACCTGAACTTGCATCCCCTTTTCGGTCCCTCGTAACTTACTGTAGAACTGTAGATGTGAGCCGAGGTGAAGACTCTCGCACACCAACAGACAAACGTGCGCCCGCTCGTCGGAGGAACAGTACGCGAGCCAGAACTCGACAATGGGGGTTACTTCAAGAAAAAGCATAGCTAAAAACTAAGCAAAGAATAAGACTGCTCTTTGTCCTTCTCTCTCGTTCCCTCACACCCAGCCACTCGGGCAGTCGCTCTCCCTCTCCCTCGCTCTCACTCCCTGCCCACTGACAACTTATCGCCTCATGCTCTTCTTTCCCCTAACGTTACTAATGAAACATACCTACACCCCTTCACTTTCCATTACCCCTCTCTGATTTCCAAACCCCTTTCCTTTCCCGTTCCAGGCGCGATTTTGAGGCGCAGAGAGCCTCAAATGATGTCAAAAGAGAAGGGCTGTCGCTGTCGCTAAAGCTGTTAAAGCGCCAAGAAACCTGGCGCAGGACTAAGGCAGCTTGCCCCGCTCCAAAGGCGACCAAGTGCTAAACAGACACTTGAGAGTTTAGCGCACTAGTGGACGCAGCTTACCCCTTTGAACTGGAAAGAAAGGGAGCTTTCGAAATTTCCCTCACGTAAGGGAGGTTGTTTTAACGTACTCTTAAAATAAGAGTGCACAGATTTAAGGGATAGGAATGGTGGGTCCTTGGGTCAAATGCAAATTCCCTGAAAAATAAAAGCCATAGAAAGAGAGCACAAATTGGGCACGCTCTCTTAAAAAAAATATCAGTGGTCAGAAAGGAGTTCACTTTGAAACTTTTGTGTAAAATGAAAAGACCAAAACATTCAAGGTCGTTAACGATGTAAAAAGACTATTTTTTCTGGCCTGAAAAGTGCACGTACTGAAACATTCGGGCCAATCTTCTATTTTAACAAGTATTTAAATCAAACAAAATACCTCTTAGCGAGGAAATGACCGAACCTTCAACATAAAAAATATCTAATATTTTGTGACGAAAAATGAATAAGCATTCGACTTAATAAATACACTTTTTAAATGTTCCCAGTCGGACCGCTTCTTCCAGGTTTTTGCCCACTCAAGCAATTTTATCTCAGCGTGCCGAATGTTTTACAAGCAGCTTAATGATATCGTTGTACGATTTAAATAATATTAGAACCGTAGTTCTGAACAATTAAACATTGATTTGTTTTGAAATATTTCGAATCAATTAAAAATAAAAGGAACGTTTTATTATTTCATATATTTTCCCGATTGTTTCCATGGGAGCTGTATCATATATCCAGCTCGATCCAGCTCGTTTTAACTACTAATAATAGCTTTAAAACCAGTGCTGGGGTGTATCTTGATACTATTATCTAGGTACGTACCTAGGTACATTTTTTTAGAACGTCGGACTACCTTTTACCTTACCTAGGTTTTTTTTATTTTTATCTATCTTAAAACGTTTATATGTTAGGTATTTAGGTACTGATATATTATTTTATTTTATTTGTTTTCAAATTAGCTTCGTAAAGAACAAATTGACCTCAAATTTAAAAAAAAATCTGTTTTTTTTTTTTAAATTTTTTGTACCTTTCACCTTACTTAGATACTTGAAAATTTTTGTACCCTTTAGCTTAGGTACTTATTTCTCAATTACCTAGATCCAAAAAACTAGTATTTTTCCTAACACTGTTAAAAACTAATAGGCTAGTTAGTTAACCAGAAACGAGGGGACAAACAGACGGATATGGCTAGATCGACATTCCTAGTGATGCTGAAAGGGTCGGGAATTTAATTCTAATTGATATTATAATACCAATTGTAAGGCGATAAAAAAATAACGAGAAAGTTATCTGGCTCCCAATTGGACATTTAATTTTTCATAACTTCGATTTTTTTTAAACATTTGCTTACATCTTGATCACTTTTTTAAAAAGTATCTGATTTCATATTAGTTATGCTTAAATTAGGAAGAGTTTTAAATTTAATTTTTAAAAAATAATTAATATTTTACAAATATTCAGTAAAAATGTTTCTTCTTTTAACCTGAAACCAATTTTTTATAACATTTTCCTTACCAAATTTATGGTGCATAGGACAAAATTTTGCCAGGGCCAAACACTCTAATTTCAGCAAATTTTTAAAAATTTGCCAAAAAGTAAAAAAAAAATAATTTATTTTTAATCACATAAATGTCTGTAGCTTTACCAGATTAAGGCTTAACTATTTTAGCGATTTACTGCCCAACACATGAAAAATTATTTCAGAATTTTAAAAAAAGTCCCTAAAATTTGTTGAAACTGACAGACACGGAAAAATTTTTATTTTGAGAAATACCCTAGAGGCAGCTTAAACTAATCGGTTACTAAGATCAAGAGGATAAACCAACTCACACTTGTATAATAAGATTATTTGTGAACGTGCAATAGTGTGTATAGGAAAATAAATAAGTTCTTGGCGAGCAGGCTATTTCAGTCAGTCCGCCCCTCCGTTCTTGGCAAAACTTTGTATGTATTGGATCTAATGAAATTATAAGTTTTTGCAATTATCGAATATTACTTATCGAAAGCTTGTAGTTTTTTCTTAAATATGGAAACATATTTTTCCTACCTTTAAAAAAAATTTCTAAAATAGGGAAAATATTTTCTGTGTTTAAAACAAAATTTTTTTTTAGAAAATGTAATTTTTTTTTCTAAGCTGCCTTTTTATATTTTTCTATATTTATAGGTAGGAGACATTTCCGACCCTATTTTCTATTTTGTAATAGACTTTTTGACCTATTATTAATTTGGCAGTTCAGAATTACGCTTTTAATTTTATTAAAATCGGACAACGATATCATATAGCTGCCATAGGAAAGATTTTGAATAATAATTTTAATGTTTTCAAGAATATTTAGTATAAGTATAGTATGAATCCAAAGGTCCTCGGCTCAAATCCAGGCTGAGCCATGTTGGCCCGAAAAAGAAGTAAGTTTGTTTTCCCCCTCCTTTCATAACATTATAATTTATCGTATTTCCTTCCCTTTCATTCCAATTTCGGGGAGAGCAGGGTTAAGGGGCACATAAAAAATAAGTATAATATATCTAAATTAAAAGATATAAAAATAGGTACCAGCCCGCTGCTCTCCCAGGGTTGAGGGTATTTTTTAGAAACTCTTTTTTTTAAAAACCTTCTTTCTGTAATATAGACAAAATCGACCATAGATCCAAGTCGTAGGCGGTTTTCTTAAATTAAGAGCGAGCTTCTATGCTTTAGAACAAACGTTTTTTGAGTGTATCTACACTTCTCGAACAACCTGTATTGGCTTAAAGCGGTTGTGTGTTGTCGGGGTTCCCCAAACTCTTTTCAGAGCACAGAAATCGATAATACCTGAATTTCATTGGCCATCTTGTCGTTGTTGTATTTTATGTCGGGCGTCGTGCTGCCGCCGGATGGCGATGAGGAGTGCTGTGGCGACTGTTGGCCTTGCGACAAGGTCTTGTCGATCATTGTGGGTCGGCCTCCTGTCCCTGTTCCTGCTTCTGCTGCTCCAGTTCCCGCTCCTGCTCCTGCTCCTGCTCCTGCTCCTGCTCCCGTGCCCGGAGACATTGGCTTGGCGTGTAGCGTCTGAAGGCCTCTTCCCGCCATCGCCAGTGGCTGGGTCCGCGGATGGGACTGCGCCTCGTCGGCGCCGAGGCCAATGGTCAGCGACCGACCCTGTCCCTCGGCGTCGCCCGCGTCCGTCTTTCTCGCCGGCGCCTCGCCCACGTCGTAGAAGTCCGCTCCCCCGCCCCCGCCGTACGAGGGCTGGCTCTGCGTCTGCGACTGCGCCTGCGCCAGCGGCTGGTGGCACTCGTCCAGCGGCTGGTGGGCCGGCGTGGCGTCCATCTCCTGCTTGGGCTTTATCCCGCACAGGGCGTTCAGGGATCCGTGGCCGTGGGCGTGGGCGTGGGCGTGGCCGTAGCCGCGGAGCGTGCCCTGCGCCTGGTCCCCCATGGACGAGAGGTTGGTCTGCAGGGCCGTGGACTTGAGGTGGGCGGCCGCTGCGGCTGCTGCAGCCGCGTTGAACAGCAGGTGGTGGCTGCTCAGCTGCGGCGACTGCGAGCTGCGGAAGGAGTCGCCCCCGTACGACTGCTGCTCCGATTGCTGATGCAGTCCGGATCCGGATCCGGACCCGGACTCGACCTTGCTGCTCTGGGGCGGATGAGGGCTGGAGACGCCGATGGAGCCGCCGATGGAGCCGCCAATGGAGCCGCCAATGGAGCCGCCAATGGAGCCGCCGCTGTTCGTCGGGACTGAGCTTCCTGAGCCTCCCGAATGGACATCGGCCATGAGCTCGTGCTCCTGCGGAAGGGAGTGGTGCAGGGTGTGGTGGGCAGCACCTTGCTGCTGGTTCGGTGGCGAGTTGTACTGGTGAAGCGCCGTTTGCAGGCCGAAAGGGGCTCGCGCCTGCTGCCAGAAGTCTGCGGCGTCCATCTTAAACATTCGAAGCCAGTTGTCCGGGAGATGGCCAATATCTGTTGCCCAGCGCGCTGGGACTGGCCGATCGGTGCGGTCGGTGCGATCGTTCCGATCGTTCCGGTCGATAAGACCTTTGCCTTCAAATCTGGGCTGCCAACTGCGAATGGTTTGGGCCTGGCCAAAGTACCTTAATTTCATATCATGTCACTGCCTGCAAGACAAAGAGTAACGCACAAGAGACTTTAAAACAATTAGCAAGTGCAGAGGGGAAATCGAGGCCATAATGTTAATGAGTGTTATTTCAAGATAAACACCCAGATACTCGCATATAGATTTATTTTTATAGCGAACTATAAAATACATACACTGTACATTTTGATAATTAAGTTCAACGAAGTTGGATTTCGAGCAATTTTAAGCCACCCCATCATAATTGAATACAAAAATAAACAACAATACTAAAATATGTTCTAAATTGATTAACAGAAATAAATAAAATATTTGGAAAAAACGACAATGTCATGTTTGCAAGCTCTGGTCCGGCTCGTCTATAATAATTATGTATATATATATTATATATATTAAAATTATCGGTTTAAAGTACTTTTCAACGAACTCAAACCCATTTACTTTACTATCAACAATTAAAAACCTACGATACAAATACTTTTATGGTCATTTTTATTTTTTGGAAGTAAACCTGCTCCCTTATTTAAGAATTTCAGAAACAACTTCTTTCCTGTAGCCAGACATTTTTTTTGTATTTAAAAAATTTGTTTATTTGTTTAATCGTTAAAATGTTTAATCAGTGTAAACCAATTATTTTAATACCTTTGCCGAATTTACCAACACAATTTTCTCCCAAAAAGGTGCATTCTCTTTTCAATAACCTCTCCAAATGTTCTTCAAATAAAATCATATTTTCGGTATTTTCTTATCGGAACAATTTGCGGTGTTGGAAAAGATTTAGTTTTCTGTATCTTGGTGAGGTAAAAAGTATTTGCGAAAATGAGTACATAGGTAAAATACAAAATACACAATTATTAAGGTACAAAAACGGTAAGAATAAACACATCTTTTTTACACTTTTTTAAATTAATCATTATGAGGCTAAAAGGTACTTTATGAAGTTGCAATTGAATTGTATTATTTTTTATACGCTCTGGCAATTAAGTGTGGTTGTAGAAATGTTGCAAGGAACGTCATTATATCTTGCATATGCAGTGAATTGATTTTATTTGTTTTTAGAATATCTGCTGAATAACATACAAAATTCAATTTGTGGTAATTTTAAAACCAAAAATAAATAAAAATACTAACACAGCTTATTTAAAAGATAAATAACAATATTTACCTCGGTAAGGTAAAAGGTCGCCTTATCTTTTTTTTATTTGGGTAAAGAATAATGTACCAAAAATTTATACTTAGTATATACAAGTATATAGGTACACCCCAACACTATCATTTGTTCATTGCTACTTGAATTTGAAAAAGGCGCTAAAAGTACGAAATCCATTTTAGTGATTTATGGACTTCTATATGGCTGACAATCTTTCAAGTGGGCCACCTAAAACTCGAAGGTCTGATTTTCATGAAATTCTTAGACTTTTTGGGTTCACAACGAAAACAAAATAAATACATTGGTCGGTTATGAGAAATTCGAGGTTTAACAGAAGTTACAGGGGTTAAAAAATCCATTTTGGTCTTTTTTTAACAACCTCTGATTTGTAGCAGATATTTTGATGATTTCTTCAGCAATAAGTGCTTAAACATATCTCCCGTTGTTTAAAGTCTTAATACCTAAAAACTTAAAGTGAATTCTTATTCGATGTTTTTTAAGTGAAATGGAAACATAAGAAAGGGTATTAAGACAAAAATAATTGTTTGATAATCAAGGGTCAAAACGGTTTTCTCCGGTTTTTCAATATCCAAGTAGCATGAGGACGCCTCCTAGTAATGATATTGGTGTATAAATTAATACCGACATCTAACAAAAAAAATAATATTCTTAAAAACATTCAAATTTTGATTTATATGCATATATGTTTAAAAACATTGAAGCTATGACTTTCACCTCAATTGCTCTATGGTTCCTATGGCAACTACATGTTCTTTTTCCGAATTGAAAAATAATAAAAGCGTTATTCTGTGTTATTAAACCATTACCATATTCAAAAAAAAAGAAAAATTTAAAAATGTTAGTGCATCATAAACATTACTTAATTACATTACAAAGAATATGTTTTCCAAAGAATTTTTTTGTGTATTTTATTATTTTTTACGTAACATTGTAAAACAATGTTGTTTCAAAATTAAACATTTCTCGGACCAAAAACGATGAAGCTAACATTTGCGTTTTGCCTGGTAAGCAGAAACTGTATCCATAAAGCGCCCTGCTCCGTGCATACGAGCACTTTTGTACCTGATGACGATAACAGTGCTTTTCAGTACCCAATTTCAATTTTGTTTTAGAAAGAGTCGGTTTTTTATTCTATTGTGAGTTATGAGTATTTAAAAAACTCCGAAGCTAATTACTTTTGCTTCTGTTTGTAATCTTTAAATTTGTTCATTTAAAAAAAATGCTTATATTTCTACTTTGGCTGTTATAGCCTAAGAACTTTTCGGAATTCGTTCTGAGAAAGCTTTAAAATTGATTGATCTAAAAAGTTGTTTAAAAGTTATGACTTAATATTAGAAAAAATATTTGTTTGGCTTCATTTTTGAGCAAAAAATATTTGTCAGTGGGAAAAACTTCGTTTTATTACTAAAATATAAGTTTAAGTTTGAGACTAATCGGTTTACCCGTGTCGAGTGATGTTGGTCACCGACTTTAAAAACCCCATTTTGAGAAAAAAAACGTTTAAAGTTTGTAGTTTTAAGCAATCTGAAACACCTGTTAAAATTTGTTTGAAACTTTGAAAATATTCACCGGAACAATATGAAATTTTGTGTGTGTATTATAGACAAAGAAATCCGGCACCTAGGGTATAGCCTCTATATGCAAACTACGAACGGTCGTAAAATATGTAAAAAAGTTTTTATCATGTTATTTATTAAATATTTGGTATTCAAGTACTATTCTAGTTTGGTAAATCGTTAGTTTTTGGTGAAAAAAAAAGTGAAGCATGTCGGAAATGACTGAAGATGATAAAGGTTACATATTGACCTTGCGATCGGAAAATATAAGCCTCCGCGATATTTGGCGCTCATGTTGGCTTTTCAAATATTTTGAAACTTACTTTAAAACTAAACAAAACTTAATGTAAACAGGAAAGAAAGCAAACTTCGGCAAGCCGAAGTTCATATACCCTTCAAGCTTTTGCAAAATTAAATTAAATAAATAATTGATTAAATATTAAATTAAATTAGGCTTTTAATTTTATATAATCGAAAAACGATATCATTTAGCTGTCATAGGAACTATCGAATAATGGAGCTGCAAATCATCATAGCTTCAATGCTTTTAAACAAATACGTAAGTTAATTATAATTTAAATGTTTTCAAAAATATTTTATTTTTGCAATAGCTGCAAGGGTATATGTTTGTTTTCTTTCCTGTTTACATTAAGTCGAATAATTGTTACTCAATTTCGATTTTGCAACATTTTCCTCGTATGTAACAAAGAAAAGGCGACTGGGAATTTTCCACACAGTCGCCTTTGGAGATGAACTTGCAAACAGACGTATTAATGCTGAGTAAATTGTTTTCCACTTTACAATTATCCAAACTATAGCAGGGTGTTGCAGGGGTCTAGCAAGGGTCTAAAATATATAAAGAAATTGATGAAAAGAAAGAAAATAGTATTGTTTGATTCAGCGGGGAAACTTAATTGAGCGCGCAACCGAAAACAGTTAAAAAGGCCATTTTAACAGCTTTGTGATGGATAGGAAAACCAGCGGTTTTTCTTCAGGTCTAAGGATTTATGTGACCCTCTACAGTTTATAGGACCCCGAAAGGTCTATTCAATGGGCCGTTGAAGGTCAGAGTCAACATGATCTAAAACTATTTCTTAAGCTTTTTTATATTTCTCATTTATATAGTTATTATGACCGCAAGACTCAACAAAAGTGTGCGGTCCTTTTTTGTTAATGTGTAGCCCAAGCCCGCAGTTAAGATTTTTAAAAACTTTTTAAAAATAAATAAAGGCACTTATCTTTGCAAATCCAAGATTACCGAACGAAATCTGCAACTATTGATTGCTCAGAATTAACATACATAGCACAATTTTTCAACTTGATAGTGGTCGAAATAACTTTCTGGCTTTTTAATCACTAGCATTATTCCATATAATTAAGACAAATCTTAAATGTTAATTAGAATTATTAATCAGGAAAGCATAAAATGGCAAATAAAATAATAAAATAAATTAGTAACGACAAATTGGTAAACAATTGTCGCAAACGAAACGCTACGAAAATAGTATGTTTATATACAGAACGAACTAAAAATTTGAATTATCGTTTACAATACTTAATACTTGAGTATCAATAATCGAATTTTTGGGGATTCAGTGCGTTTCTCGCCCGCTTTACCTCTTTGCGAGGTTGTTTTGATAGTAAAACAAAATAATGGATATCTGGATGCACGGCCTCGATTACGGTTACGGTTACGGCCGAGACTTTGGAGTTGCTCCCAGTAAACAACTACAGATAACCTGGCGGCGCGCGAGTCATAGAAAAACTAATTTGGACGCCGCGTCGGCCAAGTATAAATATGACTGTTGCTGGGGGTTCAGACACGTCTCGTTTAGAAATAGAACTTGTACACAAAAGTGGAGTCGGCTTCAAGTCGAGCCATCGCCTTCGCCATCGCCATCGCCTTCGCCATCGCCTTCGCCTTCGCCTTCGCCTTCTCCGTCGTCATCGTCGTCGTTGGCGGCGCAAAGGCAGCCATCAAAGTAAGCCAAACGTCTTCGTTTCAGGACGCGGCGTTGAAACCTTCGGCAAATGTCTTCGTCGCATCTTCGTGTTCGCCGAAAGCAACACCAACACCAACACCTACACCAACACCAACACCAACACCAGCATCCTTGTTAACCGGGAGCAGTCTCCACGGATATCGATGCTCTCTTTACCTTGCTCTTAGTTGGCAATCGGACAACATCGGGACAATGGTCAGCCGTAGTTCATTGTGCTATACAGTATGTGCAGTGGAAGTCAGGGTATGATCGCATTCAGAAATTACCTTGAAAACAAGCGTTGATCCTCAGTTGTGGTTGCGGTACGATTCCGTTCGATAGCGTTCCTCGAGCAGCTTGTGGTTTTCCTTACTATTTACTTTTTACATGTGACGTTTCTTACGGTCAATAGGTTACGGTTATGGGTTTGATATAAATTATTTTTGATGTGTTATTGAAAGTCATTTAAACATAAGGCCGGAATAAGGCACACGTTACGGTGTCGCGATATATTTGTTACGAAAAGTCATTAATCGCCTGTTTTCGGTGTAACTCCAAAAATTACAGTACTCCCTCTCCATGCCGTCATGGAGCCAGATAGGATTTTCTTCTCTTATAAGCTTTTAATTTTTGTAAATTTTAAATCACAATTTGTTACCCGATATCTTTACTTATTTTCGCGCCCAAAAAGTATCACCTAACTATCGGATTTGTATTCTTCGCAAATACAAATAGTTGTCTCAAATAGTTTCTCACTTTATACTACAATTTAAGGTATATAAAAATATAATTTTATGTAATAAAGTTTAAGAGGGTTTTTAGCCTGGGTCACCAAAAGTTGGTTACCGTTACCAATACGTTTTTATCAACTGACTTAAGTAGATATCTTATTTTAAAAATCTCTCATTTGTTTTACTGAAATGGGATACTATAGTGACTTAAGTGGATTAGTTGGTAGCGTTATACAATTACGATATATATCATTTTACGTACTGTTGTCTAGATTTTATCGTGTTACAGTTAATACTTTTTGAAAATTGCTCTTATTATAAGAAAGTATATCGCGATTTTCTTCTGAAGTGTGTTATTAAATATGGGCATGAATATAGCCTCTTGTGTGTCAAATGCTAGCTGTAGGGTATGTGGTATTCCAAACTATCTGTTCCGGTGTCAGTGTGTCTTGAGTAAGCATTCAGGGAATGTATTTTGTAGCTGTGGTTATGGTTCCTCTTTGATAACTTGGGAAATCTCGGTAAAGTCCGAAAGCACAAACTCTTTACTCTCTTTTAGGTATAGAATGTTAGCTAGCCTTACAATGTAAGCGACTATTTTATTATATATGTACACAAGTAATTAAATTATTTTTTAGTCCGTAGCCTAGGTCGGATTTGGTTCAAATCCTTACGCAATCCTTACTCAAACCTACAGAAATCTATTAAAAGTTACGAATTTTTTTCTGCATAAAATGGTTTATAGTTTGCATTGAAGTTCCTTTTGTATTTCAATAAATTTATAAATTTTCTTCGTAATTAATTTACGTGGTTTTGTACTTTTGATTTCAATTTTGCAACATTTTTGTTTGTTGTAAATTATTTTTTCGTTTCATTTGTCTAACATAGAAATTTGAGATGGTTTTTAACGGGTTTTTTCTCGTTGGTCGGCTTTTATGTTGGGTTACATTAATTTAGTTGTTATAATTTGTTATAATTTTTGTAGGCTCGTGATGAAGTTAAAGTTTGATGTTGATATTGATATTCCGATTCGGTAATGTGAGTACATAAATCAGAGAATTAATTGCATCTGTTCTATTGCTTTTTAAACTGAAAGATGGTTGGGTTGTTGAGTTAAGTCGGATGATTTATCGCTTTTTCTGTTGTTATTAAAACGTTTTTGGTCTATTGTTTTTGTTGAAATTATGATGATCTGAAATTAAATTTAAAGCAAAATGTGTCAGACTTCAATCTGATGCAGTAAAACACAAATGAAAGTCCCAAGTTGAGCCAGGTCCCTTTGCACTTGGGCTAAGCAATTCATTTGTGCTTTTCTCCTTTATCGAACAACATTGTTTTTTTTCTTTTTCGTTTAATTTTTAGCACAGTCCGCAGTTATTTGAAATCTTTTTTATGCACATTTGATAAAATAAAAATGCTCCGCGAGGTCAGGACGATCCGCAGTCGGCTGTTCTACTCCATGGAATATTGCGTTTGTGAATGCCGCATCCAAAATAATTGAGAATAAAAATCATCGCCTCGGAAGTACGTTGTTCGGTGAGCTGGTCAAGGGACGGGTGACTGCCGAAGGGGGGGAATGACTGGGAGTCGGCGGTGTGCTTATTATAATATAAAAATTGTGTGTGTTAAACAAAAAGTGACAGCAGCGGCAGCGACACCAGCAACGAAAGCGGCGGATGTGGATGTGCATGTGGATGTGGATGTGGATGTGGATTCAGGTCCTTGCACTCGGACAGGCCAGCGCCGGCGCTCTTGGCAACTGCAGTTGCATTGCCAGTTGTTTTTGCACTTGCAGTTGCAGTTCCGACCACACTGAAAGAAATTGGAATCTTCTCCAGGCGTCCCATTTTATTAACACAGTGATGACATTCCTAGTCCTTTTTCTGACCAAAAAAACCATTATCGCGATCGTATTCTGATCATAAATGTTAAGAGAGACATCGGATAACACCAAGCGACGTTTTTTTCGAGTGATATTCTGATAGAATTTTGTGACCAAATGCATTTAAGAAATATTATTTTTTGTATTCATCATGTTGGCCTTCTCTTAGCTTTGCCAATTTATATAAATAATTTCATATATTTGAATTGACAACAAGGTACATATGTATGTACAAACATGTTCCACAAAATCACTAACTTGAAAATTAGTGTAGGTAGATGTGATTCTTTAAATATTAAACTTGATAAATAATGTACATATGTAGAGAGTGGACACTTTTAAACATAAACAAATATTGCATATGTGTATTTTATGATCAATTGATTTAGCCAAGCTCATCCGTAGAGCCCACAATTTAATGGTAGAAAATTATGGTAATACATTCAGACATACATACATATGTATGTACATATTTACGATCGAGTTTCTCCGAGTGCATTTAACTGCATGCTGCCGATGCCCACAGTCCATTCGTTCCCCGCGAACGTGAGAGTGTGTGTGAACCAAATATGTCTGGCCCATGCCGCGTTTCAGATGCGTTTTCGTTGCATCATCCCTTGCGCCACCGCCACCCCCGCCAACTGATTACTCTCACACAGACAGGCGGAGGGTCAGCCAGTGCTGTTCTGGTCATCGCTGCACTTTCCGCAGTAACATCCCTTATGGCGGCGGTGCAGCCGTGATGACCACTGCAACCACCCAGTGAACCCCGTCCTCGTCTCTCCTGCCCGCTGCAGCCACAGCAGAGCCGGGTGGTCCTGGTCGGTGGTATGCAAATTTGTGCATGATTTAATGTCTACTTCAAGGCCTCTCTGGCACCTCCTGTCCCTGCTCATGTCCTGCTGTCTCCCTCCTTCCTTCTGGTTGCCACCGTCTCGCACTCTTTTACCGACTGTTTCTGTCTAGCTTGTGTTTGTGCGCTGCACTTTCCATGTGTCTGCGTGTGGGTCTGTGTGGGTCTGTGTGGGTCTGTGTGTGTGTGTGTGTTTGTGTGTGTGCATGCAATCTCGATGCATTTCTGGTCGTCGTCACGGTGTAGCTGTATGTATTTAAATGTTTATATGAAATCCTTATGTACAACGGTATACATGTATGTAGCTCCACTATCAAACCCTAACTGAATTGGATTTATAACGGTAGATATTTAGTAAATACGCAAGCATATATGCTGCCATGTACAGACATACATACTTAGGCGGAATTAGCTGCCATCGCTGCTGTTCAATCGATTTTAGTCTCTTCCCAGTCCAAGGCATATCGACCTCTATCGATTTTCTTCAATATTATACATACATTCATACATTCATACATATTTTGACGGCAAACCGTAGCGAAGCTCTTCTGTTCTACAAGGTCCCACAAACAGGAAAAAACGCGAGCTTCGATCATTTCGATTAGCTTGACAATATTGAGCTCCAATTTGACTAGTTCTAAAAACTCATGTTTCAAGAGACGGACTTCTAATATACATACTAGGACTAAAGTCTACATACGACCCCTTTTTTGGAGTTAAGCCAGCTCTATAGCGTTTACAGTAAAAGTAATGATTTGGTCTTGTTTTAAATTTAATTATATACAAAATCAAAAATATCGTATTTATTCAACAATTAATTCCGAAATTAACAACAACTCATAGACTTAAGTCACTGTCACTACCATGAACTGTTTTCTTAATAACTTATTATTGTTTTATTTGATCACAGTAAAAAAAAAATCACAAATTTATGTAAGTTTAACCGCCGAATTGTAAATCTGCTATGATGGTTCGATTGGAAAGAGTGCTATACCGATCGCTTATTTAAGAAGATTAAAAAGACTATAAAAATTATCAAATTTTTAGTAAAAAAAAAACGGTGAAAGCAAAAATATATAATTTAGAAAATTGTCGATGTTAAGAATGGTAGCGAAAAAAGGTTCCGGTTTTTGGGATTTTTCATCTTGCTAAAAATTCGCTTCATATTCGATGCTGCTTTCAAAATTTATTAAAACAAGAAAAGAAGCAAACATCGGCCATCCGAAATATATGTACCTATTAAAATAATTAGCCTTTCTTTATTATTACTTCATTAATTAATTATCATTATTATTTTAGCTAGATTATTCGATCGTTTCTATGGCAAACGATACTGTTTAAATTTTATCAAAATTGGACGACTATAACATAAAGCCCCCTGGGAACAATAAAAATATAAAAAAAAAAATTTAGAAAAAAAACCTTTTTATTTTGTAATTTTTTTTACAAAATTCTGTTTGACTTAGTAATAATTTGATAGTTCAGAATTACGCTAAAATCGAAAAACGATATCATATAACTGATATAGGAACTATCAAATAATTGAGCTGCAAATCATCACATTTTTAAACATTGCGATAGCTGCAAGGGTATATGGACTTCGGCTTGCCGAAGTTTGCTTCCTTTCTTGTTTTAGTTTAAATTTTGTCAAAAAAAACTTGTCGAACGACAACCAATTTGGTTGGATACGATGCTCCGTTGAAAAGTTTTTCAAAAAATATTTGCTTTGGTAAATCTCAAAAAAAAAAATGTATGGACTTGATTTATAAATCTGGTATAATTTTTTTTTTTTGTGTTGGGCAGGTCGTTACAAACATTATGTTATACGACTTTAGCTTATTAAGCGAAAAATCGGCTAGAAATAGGTAAACTTTGCTAGCACATGTTTTCAAACTCGTAAAGCTACAGACAAGTGCTATGTCGTTAAAATAGATTTTCAAACTTGGTCTACAACAGTTTTAGAATTATTTTACATTTTAATTTGTATTTACACTTTTTTGCAAACTAATTAAAAACGGCTCTAAAGATTTTTTTACTTTTTAAGTGTATAACCCGTGAGATTTCCTAACTTTTGAGATATATAAGCAACAAAAACGGCAACTTTTCTCAATTCAAAGCAGTTAACGCTGCATGGTCAAGAATTTACTTCTCAAAAATTTTATAAAAAAAAACGTTTCAAGTTAAAGAAAGAAATATTTTCACTAAATATTTGAAAAATATAATTTACTTTTTAAAGATTACATTGAAAAGAATTCTTAATTTAAGCAAACTTATATGAAATCAGACACTTTGCAAACAAGTGTTATTGTTCTATTGGGATCCAGACAACTTTCTCGTTATTTTTTATATCTTTGCAAATGATATTATGATTTCAGTCAGTAGGAGACATTCCCGACCACTATAACGTAAATATATTCTTCATCAGCATCTCTTGTTAGTTAAGCTTTAAAATCTTCCAAAACGTAGTTAGTTAGTTAAATAAACATTCCACTAAGTGTTCTCATTCAGCACGCTGAGATAGAAAACGCCAGTGCAGGCCAAATACCTGGCTGAAGCGGTCAGAATGGAAACATCACGCTGCTCATAGCATAGTTGGTCCTAATGCAACAGTTTTGAAATTAAAACAATAAGTTTTTTTTAAATTAAATAGCCCTTGAGATTCCTTAACTTTTAATATATGTATATTACAGATGGCCTTTAAAAGTAGTTTTCGAAAGTTATTAAGCAACAAAAACTGCGTCTTTTCTCAGTTCAGAGCAGCTATATTAATTAAATAAAATGGTATTAATATAAACAATTCAAAAGTGTAATTATTTATTTGCTAATTTTTCGTCCCAAATTTTGATATCAGAAATTTTTTATGTTGAAGAGAGGTTTACGTTCATAAACGCATTTCGTAAGTAAAATGTTTTTGTTGGGCATATATACATATTTTACTAAATTTAGGATCTTCAAATTTCCCTACGTCGTAATTAAATAATACATAATATACATCATAAAAAAT